CATAGGTTTGAACAGTCCCCTGGGCATGATGAACGCCCCTTTCCATTCATTGCCTTCTTTGACCTGAAGATTGGTAAACCCCCAATGAATGTCGAATTTTGCGTAGTACTTTGATTCAACCAGCTCGTTGAACAAAGCCTGGGCATTTGGCAAAGGGTGCACATCTGGGATGGTGAACAAATTGAGGTAGCGATAGTCTTGTATTAATCGCTTCTTCCCATCTTTCTTTGCGACGAAAAACACTGGAGCCGCTTGAGGTGAGGTCGAGGGTCAAATCTTCTTACATTTTAGGTTCTCTTCCAAGAACTCACCTAAAACTTTTAGTTCATCAGGAGACATAGGGTATACCATTGCTTTTTTGGGTTTAAAGTCTTCTTTCAACCAGATTTCATGATCCAATCTGGGTCGATGTACTGGTAATAGTATATCTTCTTCTGAGAACACCTTGGCGAATTCTTGATATTCCACTGGAAGTTTTACTTCTTCCCTTTTGTTGGCAAGGGCAGCCTCAAGTTCTGTGGAGAGAGTTGTTTTGTTAACATCAACGGAGCCTGGCTCCACTTCTGCCTTTCCCATTCCGTCCAACACCCTTGGATCCAGGGACAGCTGTCCTACAGCTGGTGAGCTGCCAGGTTTCGGTACATACCCATCATCCCAACAAGTAATTTTTCCTGTCTCCCAATTCATCCATGGTTTGAATTCCTTGAGGAAGGGCATTCCGAGGAGCACGTGCTCCTTTCCTACTAGGGGGCCAACGTAACACTTGACTCATACAATGCACTCCTTGATCTCCATCTTGAGGGTTACCTTGCGGGTTACCCATTCAGCATCTTTTCCAGTAAATGAGGTGGTTTTGAACTTGCTTTTCACCGGATATGTTGGTATCCACAACTTCTGAACCATTCGTTCCGAGATGAGGGAGACTTCTGCGCCTGAGTCAATACAGGCCCATATCCCTGCATTGAAGTCTGACAAAATGACCATTCTGAGTGGTGACCAAATCTGCATATTTGACTTGTCATCTATAGAAGTACATTTAGCAGACAATATAGCAATGGGACTGACTGTAGCAGGTGATTCATCAGTCCCCTTTAAAAACCCAACAGCTTCTCCTCTTCTTTGTTCACCAAATGATCTCTGACATAAGCAGTCTTCATTCCATCTTCTGAGATGACAATGTGAACATTGGATAGCTGGGTTTTGACTTTGACTTTACAGTCACACTTGAAGTGACCTTCCACTCCACAATTGAAGCATTTAATTTCTGAACTGGAACATCTAACATTCCGTTTACGTTTGTCAATGTCCATCACATCAGGATCTCTGGAAGATCCTTGGAAATGAATGAACTTTCTTTCATACCGAGATTCTTTCCCTTCTAGGATGTGTTTCGTGGTGATGGCGGTTCTTGCTTCTCCCACACACTGTATCCACTCAATGACCGTGGTAGGGGCATGCCCAGAATTAAGAACCCAATCATGATATTCTTTATTTAATCCTTTTCTGAAGAAAATCCCTGCTTCATGTGATTCTTCTTTCAATTGAGCCTTGTTGACAAGCCCTGTAAACTCGGCAATGTAAGCCTCAAGTTCTCATTTGCCCTGGGAGATGTCGGAAAGGCATAGGATTGCAAGAGCGGTTTGATTGCTGGACTTGAAAGTAGCTTTGAGACGTTCCACAAACCGCTGGAAGGTGTCCATGTAGTAAATTGTTCCATCAAGAAGCTTGTTTTCGTTTTGATAGTTTTCAGCAAGCCATGCCTTTTGTCATGTAAGTAAGTGCAAACAAAATCTTGAGGGACTCCGTGTTGTAGACGTGCTTGTTCAGGTTCAAGTATCCTTCGACCTGTGTAACCCAGGTCTGAAGCCCGTTATGGCTTCCATCATATTCTCTGGGATGCCTGACATTAAACTCCCTTCCTCCATTGGGTGGGCAGCAATCGTACATATCATCAGGATCAGCTGGGGCCTTACCCTTACTGGACCCACTGACAGGGACCTCTGGGGGAATTACCTTTCTGAAATTCCTGGCATACCACACATGTAGTGCTGAGTCAGTAGGTGTTCCTGTTGGAAATGGATCACTATTCTGAGCTCCAGCAATTTTACACCAATCTTCTGCCAAAGCGATTCTTTGTTCTTCCAACCTCTGTCTCAGCTCCTCTTCCATGATGGTCCTTATAGGCATCTCAGGGGCTGATTCCCCATGACCGAGTGTCATGGACATTTCTGGTGATTTGCGTGCTTCTTGTTCTTCCTTGAGGACTGATCTGAGAGAAGTGTCTGACTTCTGATCATCTTCTTCTTCAGAACTAAGTGCGACTTCCGAATCCCTAAACCAGGATAGATAAGATAACCAGGGATTTGTAGCAGTAACCGAGGGTCCTAGTCTTCCTTGCGGGATGGGTGGTAGTGGGGGATTCCTGCTGAGCCCAAGGGGATTTGGCCAAGGAGGAACTGGGGGTTTCGATTTCTGAGGGTTAGACACTTTTATGGGAAGTGACAACGAAGGCTGAGGGAGGATTTATTTCTTGAAAGAAACCTGTCAGCGTAAACCAACACAACTCTAGGGAGGCGATCTATTAAAGCCTAATGGCTGCCTGTAGAGCAGTGAACTTGATTAAGTGTGGAAGGGTGCTTCTCAATTTTGTTATTGACCATTTAGGCGAGTTGAGGAGCAGGTAGGTGGAGGCAAGTTAGTCTTTGCTCTGAGGGAAACCAACAAGCCTTCTTTGGTTGTGTGGGTATGGTTTGTTGAAGTTCAGTAACCAGGGACGAGTAGACTTTCACAAAGAGGTCAATGAGTCCCAAAAGCTGTGCAGAGTTTTTTGATTTTGTTATGCCCGAGTGCAGTGGCTTCTTCAAATGGAATAGGCACGAAGTGCACGAGGTGGGAGACTACGGGCCAAACTTGTCATAACCCCTATGGCTGAGTTATTGCAGTGATCTGACAGAGGTTCTGTCTACTGGCGAGTCCCTAAGGTTGTTCACACAGAGAGAGAACAAGGATTAGAGCAAAGGGATGAAGCTCAGTTGCAAGCTATCGAAAAACTGCAGATACAGGACAAAGTACGTAGGATTATATACCCCTAAGTACGAGTACCGTAGCAGTCATGATGTGTATCTGCAGTAATCAACAAAACAATCAACCAAATAAATATGAGTCATATGGTGTCAAAGATGGGGGTAGGGAGGAAACGAAGGCTATACTGGCAGGCACAATCAATGTGCAGCAAGGAGCCTGACACCAGAGCTATAGTACAACATAAAGGCAATATAAATGAGTCAGCAGAACAAGAAATGAACAAGTTGTCCATCAGAGAGGGTGGTGGAATACTGGATCACAGCGGCAACAAGGTCTCGTGGAAATACCTTGACAGCTGGAGATCTGAACATTCCCTGGAGCATCCGAGCCCCTAGGACGGCGACGATTATGAGGGACATGACAAGGCACATGATGCACATGACCACGAGGAGCTGAAAAAGGAAAGACCCCTGACAGAAGCATAACAAAATGTGTAAATGCATAATAAATGTGTTGAAATGCTCAAGGGTGCCCAGAGAAGCACCAATGTAAGAACTCTAGCTAAAGGCACATGTTATTTGTACTGTATGCCCACAAGTTGACAATTATCATATAATTTACATGTGCACAAAGACAGATTAGGGGTGACATTATAATCTGCTGCAATGATTTTGCTAAACATATAAACAGTATGCATAGGATGCAATGTCTGGGTAGAGATGCTGATCCAACCCTAAAGATGCACCAAAATGGTGTGTACTTGTATGGTGGTTTTATAGCCTGTCATTCCAGCAGATGTTCTGAAGGTCACTTGTACTAAGATGGCATGGTTGCCACTGTCTTGGAAAACATTGACTATTTGGCACACACAAGCCATACTAAATATATGGCAATCCTAACATGTGCTATTTGGTCAAGTCATTTAGGCAACATGATAACATAAGTAATGGCATAACAAGGAATAAGGCCGGTACTGATGATACTGGTTGCAAGTGGATCAAAAAGTCAAACTAGAGATGAAAATTAGGTTTGGACTTCTAATAGCGTCACAACCAAAAGTAGAGAGGGATGCACAGGCAGAGTTGGGAAGATCACAGAGATACAGGATGAGTCGAAATGGGTCGAGTGGGTGTGTCCCTGCCCGGAATGCACCAAAGTCAGATGATACGGATATGTATATCGGAAACGAGGCCGATGCTCGCAGGGGTTGCAGGTGTAGTGCAGTGAGAGGTGGGTGGCTGGCGTGGGCGGCTCCGGTGGACGCGAGGAATGCAAAGACCGTACGCCTTGGATGTCCAGGACGAGTCAGAAGAGGCGGACACTCTGGGGGACGACTGGAACGTGCAGGAGGCGTGCCGGGTCGGACTGATTCGTTCTTTCTGTCACATGACTCTTCACGCCCATTAATCACTACGTTGCAAAGACGCAGGAAGTGACGAAAACAGCGTTTCTTGTCGAAGCATACTTGTGGAGTCCAAGCTTCTTATTAGTATGCATCGGCCTCGTGGGGGTGCACAGAGTGGGCCTCTGTGCAACTTCTTTCGCTTCCCCCATCATCAGCCCATTGCCCTTCCCCCTGGCAGTAAGTGACATACGAAGCTCATAGCTGCTCATACCTTGGTCGTGGTCATGTCGGTATATTCCTTCCTCCATCATCTCTGGACAACCGCCATCTTTCGTAGCTGGCGCGTTCTCATCCTCTTCGCGTTATGGGCGACTGCAGTCTGCATCGTCAACTACCACGTTCACAGCCTGGCACTCCAACCAACCCCTCCTCACCGTGTAGGTGACGTTTATCTTCCTTGTACCTACCGCTATCCACTTACTGCTCGACGATTGATCACAGGCTCGGCACTGTTCTAGGTTTTGTTATTTCATTCCGCACAACGACAAGTTATGAACGGTACAACGAAGCGAGGAAGCTGTGGGCTCAAGTCATCTATGCCAGTCGCATGTTCGCCTGAACAGTGTGGTCCATGTTCCGTGTGAGTTGGCGATGGGGACAAAAGCTTCAACGTCCCTTGCTGACTGATATTTCTCATTCCTGCAGCGAACGCCACCGGCGTCACAGACAAGGCACTGCTGGACAAGTGTCAGGCCAAGACGCTTCTAGAGAAGAAAACAGTTATCAATTTGTTCGAGGCATACGCTATAGCTGTCAAGGACTACCTGCACAGGGAAGGTGGGATTGAACATAAAGACATCATCGATTACGTCAAGTTCCTCCCCAAGTACGTTCTATCTTCGAGCACTTCATCCCACTGCGGTACGATGCACCACTGGCGACCGAAGGACCGAAAAGAAGCAGAAAAGGGCCAGCCGGACCTTGAATGCAGCCGCCGCACTACCTACCCGTGACACCCCGTGCGCCAACAGGATATCTCATTTACCTCCGGAACCACGACATTAGTATCGAGTCACCCTCTCCACCCACTAGAGAACGATTCAGGCGGGAACACTCAAGATTTATTACCTGCCGAGAACCCCCCCGACCGTTTGTTGACGAGTCTATGCACCCATGTGTGGCGCAAGATATGTCGTGCGGAATCCTCGCCACGCTGGCCAAAGCCCCGAAAGAAAGAGCGTGTTGATAACGTCCCTCTAGAAATATCCTTCTACCTCGTAGGTGTTTATTTTTGGTAATCCCTAGGCTCCTATCTGACGAGTGTGAATCAGAGCTCGTACATTGCCTCTCTAGAAGAGCGGAATGACATTATTCACCCCAAGATCGAACCTCCCGCGATATGTAGGTTTTCTACACCACCAGCTTTACCCAATTGACGTATTCTCAGCACTTTTGCACACCTCGCTGTGCCGACTAATCGAAGCTCTCACTGACATGGAGAGAATCGCAACCACATCAGTCATGTACGCATTGGATCTTCGTTTACATGCCATACCTCTCAGCGAGACCCTAGATACTCGATGCATCTGTGGCTACTAACGCTCATCTACTGCCTTTTTTTGGTGTGTGCGACTTGATGATCATGGTGACGCCGAAGAATTTAGTTTGTCGTTAGCCATTCCAAACTTTGTCTACATTGGGCTGGCTCACAGTACCTGGTACCGTTCTTGCGGTAAGTTTTGGCACATAAAGTTGTGTTAAGATCGGCTGAACGACCCACCCCTGTGTTAGAGTTTTATGTTTTTCGGCTTCCTTGTAGCCGGTGCGGAGATTGAGAGTGAGTGCAACCACTGGTGATGAGACCACACTAGCGAACTGACGTGCCCTCACACCAACCCTCCTTCAGATCCGTTTGGTACGGTTTTTCGTATTAAAGTCATTTACATACTCATGCTGTAAACTGTCCGCTAAAGGTTATGACAAGAATGACTTGGTAGGTGGACTCTTTACTCACTTAAATCATTTGGTCAAGTGACACTCCCTGTCCGCGTAGAACCTCGACGAGCTCGTTCAGATTATCCGTAAGTTACTCCTCGTCAGCCCTTGGACCTACTCAACCATGGCCTGCTTTTGTGTACGTATAGAGAAGGATCTACACTCAATGTCCTCGCCTCCTACTCTGAGACCCTCTGAGTGGGTATTCTGTAAGGACAATATCCTCTTCCTATCCCGCCAAAACGATGAAATAGTTTCACCTGAAGAATGGCTAAGGAGGGGAAACGAAGGGATACACAAGGCGGTGCCCACTGAAGGCCAACCTGACCAGACATGCAACGTGACATACGTATAATGGTGAATGTGATCGTAGGTATATAGCGCGTCCAGGAAGATGGTTATTCGAGTGATATTCTTCGCTAGTATGGAGTACTCTATCAGTGTTGTGTGCATCGAAGTAGAAGTATGCTATGGAACAGTGACTAAAGCACGGTATTTAACAGACAGCAGGTTATGACAATGAGGTATGCATAGGCAGATAGATGGTGATACCGAAGGACATAATCATTACATGGCATGGTCCATCTTTCAGGTTGCTTTTTTCGTCTCCGAGCGGGCAAGGTGATCGAGGTATCCATTGTATGCGGCTTCTGCATCGCGGTACAGTAGTTCCATCAGTTTCTTATCTTGCCATGGTGCTAAGGTGTCCAAGAAGGAGGTCTCGAAGCGGAGTTCCTGATCGGTACGGATTCGTGATAAGATGTCGTCCTTGAACTTCAACCATTCAGGGGTATCGTTAGGGATCAGTATATTGAGGATTCTTCCCGGGTCTTTGGGTTTCAGAGCCAGAAGCATAAACACAACTGCAGAGGTCCGCGTGCCGAGACTATACCTCCAAGCATTGGGGCGACGCAACACACCCCTAACGAAGACTTCGCTCTGAATACTCTCCTTGTCTATGGAGGAAAGCCACATGTTATATGCCCAAGACACCCCAAGCGAGCCGATGAACATAATCTGGCCAAAAAGCGAGCATTGGGGAATGAGAAGTATTTGTGCGATGAGCTGCAAGACGAGGAGGATCGTACACCACTTGATCCAATACCGCCACCTGAAGGACAGCGTGGCGGAGCCTAAGGTGATGGAATTTGCGGCGTCCCCACTGCCCTTCAGTACAATAATCTCTTTGTCCTTTTCCGACACAAGGATGCCATCCCCGGGAACGTCCACTCGGGGGATTGGGTATTGAAATATAAAATCTGCTGCGCCGATAACGATGCACGATATTCCATTGACAAGTATTCCGAGGACGATCAGGGAGAAGGAAAACCAGTCCTCGAATACCCCACATGCGACAGCCGTGCCGACGCTGGCTAGAATGGGTATGGTGGCGACAATGGGAGGGTATATGGGAGTGCGTAACACGGCTTGATTGCTCGGGGCATGTTCGAGCTCGGTGATAGTAACCGCTATTGGTTGGGTCCGTCTGCTGGGGATTTCCACCGTTTCCAGGCGTTCCACTGAGTGCTTCATAAGAAGTGCAGAGAAGGGACCTGTCTCCTCTAGAACTGTTCCATTATGACCACCGATATATTTTGTTCCCCTTAGCTCTTCCAGCCCTAACAGGGTGGCAAGATCGGTCGGGACTCCGGGGAAGAGACCCTCGAGAAGTTTAGAGTCGGAAACTCTGCCATAGCGTCTGGCAACCTCGTAGGTACCAGGACAATTGTACCACCCTAGCCATCTTCTGCTAGGATCCAAGTGAATGGTGGTCATAGCTGTCACGGCTACGTCACCACCAAAGAAGCTAGCCATGCCCCCAGTGTCGAGCGAGAAGCCGCTCGAATTACTGTTATCGTTGAGTGGGGCATTTCCGGAATAGAGGGCACGGCGTTCAAGGACGTCAGAGAGCCGAGGTATGAACATTTAACCAGCTCGACGATTCGGAGTTGGCTTGAAGAAAATCCAGCACAGACTCTTGGGAACAGACTCGTATACATAAGTAGAAAAGTACGGGCGTCTAAATGACCACTTCCCTGAGGCATCGCTTGCACGCCAGGGTTAGGGCCAGCTCGTCAGACGAGCCAAATAGTCCATTTGGTTGCCCATGTCATAACCACAGGTATTCCATCAGGAAGCTGACAAGTTGATGTGATTGTAAGGTATTGCAGGTAGCTCAGCAATTCTGGCAAGTCGGTAACTTCAGCTGGAGGGGCCCGCTGGCCCGGTGACCCATGGTGAGGTGCCGAAAGTTATGTGGATCGCACTACTGCTGTACAAGAATTTGCTCCCGCTCAATTGGCGTGTATGTATGACAGGTCCGATCATTGGTGGCAAGATCGTGCATCAATGTTTGATAACTTCGTAGGTTCACACAGTATGGGCTTCAATGGATTCGAGCGATGAGGGGAAATCGAAAGTACCAACTGGTTCTGAGTCAGGCAGTAGCAAATGTGAGGAATGTGATCAGGAGATCGAACCCCTCAAGTTGTATAACAATATACACAGCCCAAACACAGCCCTCCAGGCGCCCCTGGACGCCATTGGAGGAAGCACGTGATGTACATGGTTACGAAGTTTTACAAGTGAAAGTAAAATTTGTGTTTTTCCAAGGGATTTGCTATCGACAGTCTGTAGTAGTGGCTGAATGTTAGGGCAAGAGTGGTAACATCTGTAGCATATTGTTCAGCAGGGTGGATTATATAGGGTGGTAGATGACATAACTGTTGCATGGTGAGTTGTTGTGTATATGGTCAGTGAACGATGTACAAGCAATCATCAATGATGTGGAGGATGGGCTGGGCGTGTAATGAAGTAGAGCCGCAGACCTGCCTCCCGAGTGTCCATACGGCATCGACGATACCCAAGCGATAAAAGGTGGCTGGTATGTACAAACGAGTGCTACAGAGATAGTGACACCATTGGATGAAGCCATTACTTGCCGTGAACCGTCTATAAGGATGTATCTTTCGTATCCGAGCGGGCAAGGTGATCAAGGTACCCGTTGTATGCGGCTTCCGCATCACCGTACAGTAACTCTGTCAGTGCCTTATCAGGCCCTGGTGCTAAGGCATCCCAAACGGAGGTCTCGAAGCGAAGCTGTTGATTAGTACGGATCCGTGATAAGATGTCATCCTTGAATTTCAGCCATACAGGGGTATCGTTAGGGAGTAGCATATTCAGGATTTTTCTTGGGTCTTTGGGTTTCAAAACCAGAAGCGTAAACACAACCGCAGAGGTCCGCGTGCCAAGACTGTACCTCCAGAATCTGGGGCAGCGCAGTACACCTCTGACGAAGACCTCTCCCTGAATATTCTCTTTATTTTTGGAGGAGAGCCACAAATTGTAGCCCCAAGACACGGTGAGCGAGCCGATGAACATGATCTGGCCAAAAAGCGTGCCTTGTGGAATGAGGAGTATTTGCACAATGAGCTGGAAGACGAGGAGAAGTGCACACCACTTGATCCACCGCCGCCACCTGAAACGCAGTGCGGCAGAGCCCGAGTTGATGCAACACACCGAACTCCCATTACCCTTCAACACGATAATTTCCTTGTCCTTTTCCGACACAAGGATGCCGTCCCCAGGACCGTCCACGTGGGGAATGGGGTATTGGAGAATAAATTCTCCTGCACCAATGACGATGCACGATATGCCATTGACAAGCATTCCGAGGACGATCATGGAGAAGGAAAACCAATCTCGGAATACGCCACAAGCGACAGCCGTGCCGACGCTGGCTAGAATGGGTGCACTGGCAGCGATGGGAGGGTATATGGAGGTGCGTAACACGGCTTGATTGCTTGGGGAGTGTTCGAGTTCAATGATGGTGATGGCTATCGGCTGCGTCTTTCTGCAGTGGATTTCGATCGGGTCTAAATATCGCGCACAATTCTTCATAAGAAGTGCGGAGAAGGGGCTCGTCTCCTCCAGGATTGTTCCGCTATGAGCGGCGATATACTTTGTCCCCTTTGACCCTTCCAGCCCTAACAGGGTAGCGAGATCGGTTGGAACCCCTGGGAAGAGACCTTGAAGAAGTCTAGAGTCCGAAATCCTGCCATAGCGTCTGGCCACCTCGTAGGTGCCCGGGGAATTGTACCACCCCAGCCATCGCCTGGTAGGATCCAAGTGAATGGTGGTCATAGCAGTCACAGCCACGTCACCACCAAAGAAACTAGCCATGCCTCCGGTGTCGAGCGAGAAGCCGTACGAATTACTTTGACCGCTGAGCGGGGCGTTTCCTGAATAGAGGGTACGACGATCGAGAGCATTGGAAACCTGAGGTATGAACATTGCTCACTGTGGAACAACACTTTCTGAGAAAGCACGGGCGTCTAAGTAGCCACTGCTCTGCGTCTGCTGCGGGGCACCCGCTTCTGTGCACATGGGCCCACGAGTCTGAGTGGGTCCGCGCGCCACCAATTATAATTGTGGGTTTTCCATCATGAAGCCTGGTGGTAGCGCGTCAACCCACCGTGGGTGGTTTAGCGAAGTTGGAGCATTGCAAGTCCGGCCGAAGGGCGCTACCACGGTAACTTTGGCTTGGGATATCATTTTTGATGTGGTGACCAGGGATTTCTAAAGAGTTTGCTGGGATGCCAGAAGTCACGTGCATCCACATTAGCCTCTCGACCGCCACAAAGATATGGTTTTCAACAGATCTAATTGTCGATCAACGGGGAAAATCGAAAGTAATGGTGCTATGTGCTAAGTTATATCGAAATAAGTGAAGAATAAGAAGTTTGTTACAAGTTGAAATCGCGACGTTCAAGGTTATTCATGCTCTAGTGATACAGACATGCCAATGCCAAATGTTCAATGAAAATGTTTGATGCCGAGTCCCGCATAGTGCAGGTGTATGTGTGAGATGCTGGTGAGAAGGCAGATATATCCTGCCCCAAGCTCTAGCATTGCAGGTGTATTTGGGGGAAGATGTCGGCAGCACCTACGCCGAATCCGTTGACGCTAGGGAATCCAAGGAATCCCTGCGGTCCGAGTACGTCAGTGAATGCGAAGCCTCCATCAAATTCTGCAAGGGGAGGTCGTGAAACGCCAGATGTAAGAGATGGTGAGTCGTTGTGGGGAAAAACACCAGCACTCTGAAGGGGTTGGATCGGAGCAACAAAGCCCTGTTGACAAGCATTATAAGCAGGGCCAGAGAAGATGCTATCGTTGTCGCCGGGAGAAGGCGCAGGAATCCAGAGATTAGAGATGTCTGCGCCGCTTTGGATATATGGCAACTCCTGCTCGAAACCTTGAAAAATCGATGGGTAGGACACAGTTGGTATCTCGATACCTCGAGAACACAGAAGTTCCGGGTTGAAGGGGTCCTCCACCAAATAAGACACTGAGGGTAGGTTGTCATAAGATGCAGCGCGAGTGGCCAGTGCACTGTCATACGCAGGGTACGTGTTGGGGGCTACAAGGCCAGGTATGAGGGCGGAACAGGAGGACTGTTCCGCAAAGAGCTCATCAAGCTCAGACAGCTGACGCTCAAGCCACGTAAACTCGTCAGAGCTCGAATCCTCGGAAGAAGATGGTGACGAGGAAGGGTATGTGGAGTGTCGTTCGCGTTTCCGAGTTTTTTTGCAGGATTTTGTCGCCGATGAACGAGTTTTCTTATCTTTGGGATCGTAACCATGGGCCTTTCTACGGTGACGTGTAAGGGAGCCAGGATCAGAAGTTGTGTAGGTGCATTCTGGGTGCGGGCACTTGTTTGGGCGTGCACCAGTGCTAGAGAAAACGGAGTGAGATAATGTACTAACCACTAACGCGTCAAACAGGACCTACTGGGTATGAATATGCGTGGTCAAATTAGAACGTTGAAGGGCCTTATACTCGCACCCTGCGTAGGGGCAAGGAAACATACTACGAATGTTGTGTCAGCACCATACGCTCCGAAGAGATTGGCCTCCACTTACAACGCCTCCTTGTTCGCTGCATGCGTACGCATATGGCGTGGAAGATCAGCTTTCCGACTCAATTTCTTGTCGCAAATGTGACACAATCCAGGTTCCTGTTCGCAGGGTTAGATTCGCGCGCAGAGTTCCTGAGGACCACGCACAAATGCAGGGGAGGCACGCGTGACAGGCATTTCCAAAGTGTGTGGTGCAATAGGTGATGGGCTTAGGGGGGTAGGGCAAACGGAGGTTCGTTCAATGAACAGAAGGGGAGCAGAGGAGCGATTGATCTCGTAACGCGGATCAGAGGGAAGTGGGCGCCAGCGGGCTTGAATTTTGTGCAGCCCACACGCCCCCTCCTTTATGGCATTCCACACACCGCACCGTTGGACCACTTGATATTGGATTGCTTTTCCTCACTTGCCCTGCCACAACGGAAACTACCTATTTAAGTCATTTTCCAGACAGCAATCACGTCGGGTGGTCCAAGCACCAGGGGGTGCCACCCGCGTAGAAAAGTGAGCCACTCGGCTAGAAAACATATGACAGATTGGGTAGAAAAGTTGGATTGCGTCGAGAAGGTTTCGAAAATTGCCGTTGTTGGTAATTGAGGTTACCAGGCAAAGCGGACTAAGCCAGGCGTCCCAAGGAGGTAGTGAACCATGCAACACATGAGAGTTGCTGTATGGAAAGATTGTCAGTGGACGGCAACAAGTATTCGCAAGCCCTAAGCAGAAGTCTGAATATGACACGACCACCAGTGACTTGATAACTTGGAACTATCGTCAAAGTGTAAGTGAAGCAAAGTTCCGAAAACTCGCCTTGAACTCCGCAAAGAGAAAGCTGACCGGAATAATCTAGGACAGTCGACAAATTATCTAGGAACCGCTTTCATAGATTGTCCTTTGAAGGTGGCGAAAAAAACGCAATTGATAACTTTAGTCTGTAAAAGACCGGAACGTTGCAAAATGAAAGCATAGTTGAAGTCACTGGCTTGCCCCTACCCCAGCAATCGTCAGATAAAGCTGACAATGAGACACCCTGACTCATAGAAGCGCCCCCGCGAGTAATCGCGCCATTAAGACGAGCAAGTTGTTTGAATGTTACAACTTTATGAACAGATACTTGGCCATCTGGAATGACTGGGTCGTGTGGTTTGGAGCGCAAGCGGCGGACGAGGATATGATGCTGGACACTCCGAAAGCACTCGGGCGAGGAAGGCGTCGTGAAGGGATAGAAGGTCGGCATGGACACCATACTAGCCTGACACCTACAAACGCAGGAATTGAGCAACCTTGGGTCGAAAAATCCAGAGTCCGTTTGTGTTCAGAACCCATCCCATAGTTATTATCGCACGGAGCAGAGATGTGTGGGATTACATATGCCATCTCATCACGCTCCCTATCAAAAAACCTAACATGATGTTAAAGCCGGTCAATTCTTGGAGTTCCAATTCTTCGCACGCAATCAAGAAAGTAGACATGGAGGGCAGGCGGGTAAGGACGCGAGGACTCACATATTCCGACCCCACCCATTATTCTCTTCCCGATTATGCTCCCAGGAGCACTGGCACGCGATGCGTGCAAAGCGTACAGTCCTGTCACAGCAAAGGCAGTGCTTCCAATAACCTTGCACGTTAAACAATCCTTCTCGAAGGGCGGCTGCTGGGTGGTTGGTGACGTCGGCACGGGCAATGTTTCGCGTTCGTTTTTCATGACACTCTTTGAAGTTGGCGGCGGAAGAACTTTCCTGTTGTGCAACACAAATAACGGCGTCGGCGATCGGGAGTTCCTCGTCAATGGCACCTGAGCGTGCTGGGCTCCCTTAAAAACCACTGACGAAGGAAGAATAGACTAATACGCCGACTGGGCTCCAATTTGTGAAATCGCCATGTTTGCCTAAATACAGTAACACATTTGCGCCGGGACTGCGAACACCAGTAGTGCCCCACGATAGAGAAAGAGTGACCCCGAGAACACCACCGAACTTACTTTGCCGAAGTCAGTGTAGATCCCGATCGATTCCCAGAACTACTTACTTACCAATTAACGTATCAACAAGGAGTTGAGTTTCAGATCAGAGATTTGTTGATTCACATTCACCTCAAGAAGTACTCCACTTGGGTTCCTTGAGTCCGCAAAGACTTTTATATGACTCTCTAGGGTAAATCCCTCTCTCCCACCCTCCCCTACCACTGTTTTCCCCAATCAGAACTCACCGTTTGTCGCGGAAATGTGAAACTTCGTTGTTGTTGCTGCCGTCACGATATTTCTTTTCAAATTGTTTCGGTGTTCCCGGCCATAAACTGACTTCTGTTGATCTTTAGGATGTACATATGTATTTGATGCGAGCGTAAAAGACAAACGGTTTTTCATGTTTTGTTCGTTGTCAGCTCCTCCCACCCTCCCCCTTCTCGCTTCGTCTCTCAGTCGAGCTGATTCTCGACTCCCTTTTGCACAATGAAAGTTCTATAATCTTTTTGGTCGGCGTTGCGACTGGACTTGCAGCAGCCGGACCAGCGAATAGCACGGTGTCCAGTGGAATGTGGCCCAAAAGACTACACGGCATCGAGTGGTATGGGTATGTGGCCAGCAAATAGCTACACTGCGTCAAGCAGCATATCGCCGCCCTGCACTTGCAGTGGCAACTCCTACGTGACAACAACGACACCGGTAACTACTGCATGTGCTGCTACTCCCACCAGCCCCGCTGCTAGTGGCATATCTTACACCGTTATTGTCGTACCAACTCAAGATGTCCTTCGTTATGTACCATTTATTGTCAATGCCTCAGTCGGTGACACTATTGTATTCCTGTGCAACGCAAACAACCATACCGTCACCAAGTCGGCCCAACTGGCGGTAATATGAACCTTCTGCCTGTGACCACTAATACCTGAGATGCAGCCACTTAGATTTGCAATAAGACCATGGACGCTCCGTTTGCGTCGGGTGAACACAACAAGAGCTTTGTCTGTGAGCAGCCGAACTTCATGTCTAGTGATCTCACTGACATTAGCTTCCAGTTCAACAAAAGGTCAACGATACCAACAGCACCTACTTCTACTGTGGTACTCCAGGTCACTGCCAGAAAGGAATATTCGGTATCATGTGTGTCGGGCGAATTGCTTCCCATAGCAGCATTCGGAGGGTTTCTGACGGAGGACATCAACCTCACAGGAAACCTGATAGCTAAAATGTCATTATCCAGCATGATGCCGGCTATGGCCACCAGTGTAAGTAGGTATGCTGGATTTCTCTCTTACTTGCTAACAGGATTTGTCAGAGTTCAAGCATGGGTGCTATGTGGCAGTACACGCAAATGATGACTCAAAATAACAGCGTGGCAGCTAGTTGGGCAGGTAACGTCGATATGTCGGACATGCCTCGGTGGGCCCGTCAATACGTGGCCGAGAATGTGATGTAAGTTCCGCGTAAGGGTCTATGAGCCTGAGCTGATATCTCGAAGGTACACACGTACATTCCTGGCTGCCAACCTGGAAACCCTTAACGAGGATGGAAGTGTTGGCCTTGGCAATGCAGGTAGTGCGCCGTTAATGGTTCCAGTTGACATCACGTCCGGCAGAACAGTAGCACATCTTCACCAGGAGGGAACTCCGGAAGTTCCTCACCTCAACCTGCGAGCTCGAACCCGTCTGCGACGATGACGAGTGGTGCTATGCAGCTCTTGCCCTCCAAAGTCTTTGCTAGTGTTACTGTCGCGTTTCCTCTAATTTTCGTTCTCTAAGGAACCCGTTGACGGGTTGCTTTTTCAGGCTGCGAGTCGTGGCGGAAACGAGTCCCCCCCCCTTAAGATAGATCTGTACTGAAGATATACTTGTCCTGGCGATGTTACTCCGCCTTACGATAATACATGTGTGCCACTGTCTCCTGATACTCCGAAACTTTCGGAGGATTCAAGTATTTTGTTGTCACGATCACCTCATGTCGAGGTCGTCTCGGAAGCACGGGATGGAATTCAAATTCTCTAGGACTGATCAACCAGGTGTTCCGTCGCTCCTTTGGCATCGCAAATAACTGTCCTTCCCAACTTGGCCAGTATTACGGTTAGCTTTCTGCCGTTCCTGGTCGGGTGAGCCAGCCTCGTTTGCGTTTATCAACAGGTTTATGGCTCTCCACCCAACGCTGGCTGCCATCCATCGGCACAGAATACTCCTTTTAACGTGATGACCGCGTTTTCTGTCGTATCGCAACGCAAGGTACGTGATGATATAGGAGTGAATGTAATGACTATATTGCGGCAATGACGATACATGAGGGAACTACAACAAAATGCCGATGCAAAATATCTACGGATACAAAAGAGTGGATGTGGTATAGGTGGAAGCGGAAGGCGTAGAGAAAATAAGTGCCCGAGTTGGAACCAACCTACGATGATAACATAGTACGCTTGAAAAGTAGAAAAGAGCGACGTCGACGGACCATCATTAACATTAAACACCGACAGAGATTCCTTCTGACATTTCACAATCAAAATCCAAAGCGCACCCGGCAGACTGGAGATACGCAAGGTCCCAGATGCCTGCCTCGACCATCCAATCTGGGCAAAGACAGCCTATGGGGCCTGTATTGACCGCCGTGACCTCGTCCATGTCCATCTCGATGGAGTAGCTCGCCGCCCAGCGGCGTACCTCGGACTCTAGGGTCCATTCCTCTTCCTCCTCGGAAGGGATGATCCATTCCACGGTCAAGCCGTATTGCTTATAGATCTGCGGAAGAAGAGTGTGCGCAACTACCCCTGTTCTACCGTCGGGAGTATCTAGGAAAAGACACCCGCCGGTAGCAGCATTCAAGGCAGCAGAATCTTCCATTATGTCTAAGAAATCGTAGGGCCACACGCGACCCTTCCAAGGAATGCCACGAATACCGTTGGAGGATGCACCTATTTGGCTTGCGCGTTGTCTCCGGCGGGACGGCGACGGCCTGCATGACCTGCTTCCTTTAGTAGGAGAGTTGAGTATTTCGAGAGAAGAATCGTCCGAGCTGTCCGAGCTGTCTGACGGAGAGGTCGTGTCTTCCGCACTGTTATAGGGGGTACATTGATCGCGTTGAGTGTTTAGAAAAAAACGTGCCACAAGATACGTACTGTTGTTTATGCCAGTGGATCAGGAGCCCTCTCTTGGTAACGCTGCTGTAGTCACACTGCATCGCAGGGCAAGGGAACAACCTACGGGGGATGAACAAAATTGAAGTTGGAGGAAACGAACATACATGTTCCCGTCCCTGTGAGAGTCTACATGCTGAGAGAGTTCGGCGGACTTCTTGAAGATGCGACCGCAGAGTGGAAAGTTACAGGCGTGGTGCTAAATAGTGGGGAGACCATCAAGCTACGTGATAATCGACATAGCGGCGGTGACTTGCCTTGCTTGTTTGGGTCATTGGAAGCGTGTCTGTGCGAGTGTAATGGAACCAAGGGACAACAGAGTATGGAGCAAGAAACAAGCACGGGGGGAAGAGAATGACCAGACTCTCTTAGTTGAGAAGGAAGGCGAAGAGTGTTTAGTTTCCCTGCAGCGCACTCAGTTATATACCTCTCAAAGCATCGCGCTGTTGAGCACGGACAGTGGACAATACGAAGATCCTTCGGGTACCTCTTTGGCGCGTTCCACATGTCATCGCCATTAAAACGAGCGAACCTTTCCACCCTGTCAAAGCGTCCTCTTCAATAACTGGAATTCCATTTTTAACTGAAGTTAGTTATGGTTAAGACCGGAGAAACTCTCCAATGAACAATAAGAGCTTTGGCGCACCCAAAACACGGCCCGATCCGCTGAAACTTTCGCGTTCGCCGAGGCTCATAAGAAGTGTGGAACTTTCACAACGGTCCACCGTCAGAATCTAAGAATGAGAATTTTCATGATCGGTTGGAGAGACATTTCGGGTCGCTCCTCCGGAACCAAACGAGGAAAACAGAACCCCCAGGGTGGACACGTTCTCAGTACTATTTACACGAGGCCGTAACTTAGCGGCGAGTCGCGGGCGTCCAGACGAGATACCGGGCAACGCGGGCCTCACACTGGCACGCTGCATGCTGCGTGACACAGTTGATCTTGGAATGTACCTGTTGAGAAAGAGAGCCAGTTGTTCACAGACGGTGTCTACATACCCGATACATAGCGGACTGTGTAGGGGCAGAAGTACTTGTGGTCGTTGTTCCCACGATATCGTCGCCAGCCCGTCTGCCGTCATCCCCGACATTTCCAGCGCCCCGTCAACTAACAATCCAACGTTTTCATAATCACTAGGCATGATGTTGGGTCAGACAGCGTCGCCCTGGTTCAAAGCATCCAGGCTTGAGATCCTCATCACTAACGCCTGCGACCCCTCAGCGCACGAGCCAAACTTTGCCCACCATCTCGAAATCGCTGAATACATCAACATTAAGAAAGCCAATACGTGAGCCCAAGTTCCTTTCAGTGCCGTGCGCGGTTACTCATGAACTCTAATTTACTTGCCCATTGCTTCATATTCCATGCTCGTTGATTCAAACTCGACGATGGTCCTTTCAATAAATACGGCAGGCCCCGTGAAGCAGCCATGCTCATAGCTCGCCTTGCTAATCACCGAAATCCCCACATTGCCCTCCTCTCGCTCGCCCTCCTCGACACTCTCGTCCAATCGTGTGGATATCCCTTCCATCTCCAAATAGCCACCAAAGAATTCCTCAATGAACTTGTCCGCCGCTTCCCCGAACGCCCTCCGCCATTCCCGGGCCCCGTTATGTCTCGTATCTTGGAAGTGATACACAGCTGGAAGGAGGGAATCTGTACAGAATCTAGGTGGAAAGAGGACTTGGGTAATATTCGCGACATGCATCGGTTGCTGACCTTCAAGGGATATCGCTTTAGGGAGCTACCAAGTAGGAACCTCGCCGAGCCTACATTGGTGCGTCGCCTCTCATCTCATCACTTTTGATCCCCTCCTCAAATACACTGGGTCACTCACTCATCCTGACATCGTCAGTCCCTCAAAACTGCCGAAGAATTGGAAAACGAAGACCGCGAAGCCCAATCTGCCAAACTCCAGGAACTCATCCGCCGAGGGACACCTCGCGATCTCGCCGCTGCACAAGAACTCATGAAGTCTCTCGCTGGCGCGAACCCAGATGCCAAACCTGACTACCGCGCTCAGGCCCTGGCGGAACTCGCTAAGTTCCAGAGCAAGGTCGTCTTATTGAATGAAATGTTGGATAACGTTGACGCAGAGAGGGGCGAGAAATTCGCCAAGGGAGATGCATATGATGTGAGTCGATATTTCCGGATCGCTATGAAATACGCGTGGTTCACGGTTCGTATGCTTGGATTGATTCTTACAGCAAGTAGCCGCTATTCTCATATCTGCCCGCCCCAAATTGCAAAAATGGGTCTCGGACGCAGAGTCAGATGACCCAGAGTCCTTGAGTAAGTTCACCATTCCTCATGTCGTCCGCTGGGGCAGAGGGTGACGTCTGTTTACGTGATAGACGCCTTCCTGGAGGCAAACGACCAAATCAATACCGCTCTCGCCCGCTTTGAAGCCTTTCAACGTGGTGACTACAATGCCATTGCCTCGATACCCACTTCCGTATATTCGACCTCACCTGGAGGAACCAATGGAGGCGCATCGCTTATCGATTTCGATGATGGACCATCCGCTTCAGGGTCTGGAGTTGGAAACAACGGGAATCTGGTGGATGACCTCGCGAACTTGTTTAACTCACCTGCCCCTTCCTCCCAACCGCCACCCGTCAATAATGCCACGCGTCCTGTTATATCCTCACCATTCCCAATATCTGCTCCAGAACAACCCCCTCTGCAAGGACCACAGTACGGCTCCATAATGCTCCCTGCGTCTAGGAAGGCGAGCCCTAGTGGGAGTTATTTTGGGAGTTCGACATCACCACCTCCAGCTGTGGGATTGGGTCATCCGATGCGTGCCCAATCTCCCCCGCAGCCGAATAGCACAAGTGTGGGCCTGTCTGGGGGGTCGCAGTTCTTTAGTGCAGCGCAGCCAAAGACGCAGTTCCAACGGTCGTCTACAGGATCTCGGTTTTCGGGCGGTATGTCTATTCAGCAACGTTCGCTGCAGTCGACACCATCATCACAGCCTCGGTCCGGCGATGCCCAAAATCGAGATCCATTTGCTGACCTTGCTGGCCTATTTTGAGGTGGTATGAGATGCTGTGGGTGGGAGTGACATTTGTGGTGTGTGATCAGCAACGTGATTTTCTATACCTTGGTTATCCTGGATGATTCTTTTGTTGTTCGAGTATGATCAATGGACTTGGGCAGATCTGTCATTTCTTCAACAGCAACTAGCCAAGGTGGAAGGGACTGCATACAAGGCAAATATATACATATTGACGCCGAGAAAGAGTTGTCCCTCTTCAGGTTGACTCCTCCCCTCGAAGAACCCGATTTTCTTGGGACCTGAACAAAAGTGTGTCGATACATAAATCGGAATTGGTACCTCACGGGCTAGCTACTACCACCTCTGTGGCATACCCATCAATCTATCTTCTCCGGCCAACATTTTACTTTCAGACACTTGACATTCACAACCTTTGCTGCCTGCTGATGAAACGCCAGTGCCCGGCGAGGCATCTCGAGACTGCGGCTCGTTAAAGAGGATTCAGGCCGCAGCGTCCTGTATTGGTATCAACACAATCCTAACGGTGAGCCATTCCACCCGCGCCATTCATACTCTGTATCGTATGGTCACCGCACGCTAGTCGAATATCTACGAAACTTTTAACTTTCGGACTTTGCCATCGAACGCAAATGAGGCTGCACTTAGTTCGCGCGCCGATTAGCTCAGCCACGTCGTCCAATTGCTTTGCTGCCCTTTCATCACCGCTGTGATTTCCCTGGCGACGATCCGGTCTGCCTGTTCAGAGGGGTGAAGTTCGTCCCACCTGTGAATACCAACCACAATATGTCAGCGGATGATTTTCCAGCCGCGTGGAAAACGAGCGCCGTGTCGTAGGTAGGGTGCCTGGGATACGAAACTCACCATAAATACCCATCTCTCGCCGGACCTTCCACGACTGTACATGTCCCAGGATCCGTAACGCTCTCATTGAGTTGCAGAACGCATGCGTCGATACTTCCCGTCACGTTGTAGACGGGAACCGTTGTGTTCCCGGTGGTGATGGTGCCGTTAAGGTACGCGCTCGGGTTGGTATACATGTCAGCGAAGAGGGCAAACGCATCGAAGGAGGCTGAGTTTCGTGTTCACATCAGCGTAATGAATGAAAGGTAGGTGGAACATAACGGGGAAAGCAAGGCTATGTGCTCACCAATATGTGCACCATCTAAACTGGGCAAGAGCGCTTGCAGCATTAGATCGGTGATTGCGTTCCCGGCCCGGACGAGCTCATGCATGAATACACTCCACTCCGTTGTGTTGCGAGGGGCAGCCCAGTACTTGCTCGGGTAGGAGTTGGGTGAGTACAGAGGTGTTAAATTAAGTGGGATCATCTGCGTGCGTGAGACATCGCAGGTCAGTCCCCGATCGGAGGCGGAACGCTGCAGCGAAGAAAGGCTGACATTCATGACCACGAAATACCTTGCACCATTCTCATACAACACCCGAACTACATCCACCACACACTTCCTCACTTCCACGATTGACACACTCTTTTTCACCCCTACACCCTGTGTCAGCAGTGCGTTCGCACCGACATCGTTCGTCCCAATCCAGATCGCATATATAGTTTCATCTGGGAGGATGCTGGAGGCCGGAAGCGTGCCGTTCCGGGTGGCGTTAAGGTAGTCAGGAAGTTGGTACTCTGTTAGAGGAGGAAATGGCCTATCTGTGAGGTTGTTGGAGCATGTTGCCCCTGACCTCGCGAAGCCTGCAGAACCGGCATCAGATGCACACGCCGACAGACATAACTCTACGGCCGGACTCACCGTACAGGTTGAATGGCCCATATCCTGCTACATAAGTTGGCCAGGAGTAACCCCCGTCATCAGACGGGTAGTACGAAGAATCCGTGTATGAGTCGCCGAACGTGACCAGGTTTTTGATTTGACCTGCTTGGATCGCTCCGCTGCTCGCCGTTGCAGCCCATTCGCGCTGCGCTAAGCCAAGGCCAAAGGTGAGTGTTAGTCTTAGAAGAGTATGCATGTATTTCATCGTCTATAACGTCATGCACGAGGAAATAAACCGCCATAATTCGAGGGAATCACCATGTTCTTATACTACCTGACTTTGCAGCTGGTTCAAAATAGCAATGTGCCCCCGTTCTTTTTCCGCATCTAATCACTATTCGCTCGCTAATAGGGTTACGGAATTACTGAATCAGCAACTTACAGCAGGGTGCAGACGAACCATACTGCCAATATACGGTCCGATCAATTCTTCTGAATCTTGGTGAAAATAGACATGGCCATCAGACAACATGCTGGGCCGAAAACAAACCCTGTGCCAGAATAGATATGCAGTCTGTAAGAGGGTGAATGAGTTACAAAAGTGATGGTTCCCTAAACTATAATTCACGATATGCCGCCTCCTCCGGGATATCTCTCACCAGCGACTCCAACTACTATACTCTAGATGACCGCTGAGGATGGTCTACCTCCTCCCACTCATCCAGGGCCTCCGGAGCTCCAGGTCTCCCTGCATCCTCTTTCGATTCCCAGCGTCGTCTGGCTAACCGACATCGCAATGTGATGATCCCTTTTACGACGGCGAACACAATGCAATACCCTACTGCGATCCCAAATATGTATGCCGCGACGCGGCCTGGATGCGAGCCTGGGTCAAGGAAGCTGTAGGCTGTAATTCGTTGTTGGTTGATCAGCACAAGTACTCTGCGTTCTGAGTCGAAATGACGAGAAATCTCGAATGGACTACAATGTAAGAAAGTAAGAAAACCGACGTACTGTAAAAACCTTGCGTTGCGCGTGTGATATACGCCACGCCCAGGTAGAGCGCAATCACGATGAAAACAGGTCCTATGTGCGACCATGGTAGAGGGGGAACGTTGGTGCAGGTAATTTCGAAAACCGCGAAGGCAGAATTGAGGATGTGTCGGGATATGTTAGCCCAAGCTGTGGGTGGGTGTCACAAGTTGAGGTTTGAGCGGAGACGAGGTCGTGATGCATGGAAGGCAAACACACACCATTATATGTGCCCATCAACGTCTGTGGCGAGGAGAGTAGCGCCCAAAATACAATTGTCACGATGATCGCTACACAGACCGGTGAGCACGTCTCATTCCTCTCCAACCCCAACCCCCTACCAAAAAAAAAACGAAAGTAGGAAACTCACGATACACCACGATACTAGTATATAACAAAACATGCATCAGCTGCAAGGGCCGTGGCCACTTCTGCAGCGGATAGTATATCCTCCTCTCCGTGTCTACGTGCTCCACTCTGAGGTCCCTCTCGGTCTTTTTCTGGCCTCTATTGCCTGCATCCGTGTCATCCTGCACACTCCTCAAGTTCCTCACTGCACGAGCAAATGCGATGGTCTGTACACTCGACGCCCAAAAGTACGCGCACAGGCCGATGTAGGAGAGACTCGTGAAGTAAGACAAGTACCTGTTTCATATATTCGAAGATCGAGTGCCCCGCCAGGATGGACGATCAGACGTCAGACGTCCTTCCAGACCTGAGAAACAAGGGACTCACGATGGTCCACTATTGTATACAGCTGAATCAAGTCCCAAAATGACGACGGCTGTGATGAGCGTGTACAGAGCCAACAGTCCACGGACAGCACCGAGCACTAAAGGGGGGAGGAAAGGGAGGGGTGAGGTAACAAGCGCGAAGGATGGGTCAAAGGGGGCGGGAACGCCGAAGGAGGCGTAGGAGATTGATAATTTTTTCCGCATGGGACTATTCTTCACTTCAAAGAGCGGCGGGCTGGTGACCAGGACACAGAAAGAAGAAAACGAGGGGAGAAAAGGTTCAGAGGGGTTAAGGGACCCTCAAAATGTCGGCAGAGGTTGATAGCCTATTGAAGTGACACATACGGTCTCGAAGCTGTCAACAGTTCCGCCCTGGACACCGATGGTTTTGGTCAACGCAGCATTGTTGTGGCAAATGACCCGACACGTGTCGATGGGAATCGGAAGTAACTGTGTGCCGGAACTCATTTGTTGTGGATGCTTCCTCGAGAGTCGGATGCCGGTTGATCCATTCTCCAGGCTGTCTCCATGATACGTGTGCTCTCGTTCAGTAATAAACATCAATCCCTTCTAACCGAATACTGTTACCACACCCAGGTGCGCGTCTAGATAACACAAGCATACGTATGCATGTCTCTTTGATAACAGTACAAGCATGGTGGATCCCGCAAAAGGTTATATCCTGAAGGTTTGTCAGGACTCGGAGGAGACGTCAGATCCCAAGTACAGTTATCAATGACAGAGCGTAGGAGAGCGTCCCGCGAACTTTTGGTCCTTTTTAGTGCTTTACGAGCAAGATACTCGGCGAGAGGTTAGGTAGATTATGACAGCAAGCGTGAAAATTGGCTAGTGCAGGCTGCACGCTCAAAGGACAAAAGTGCGACCCGCTGCGCACGTTCGTTTGCAGTACGAATATCGCGTGCATAGTTCTCCCGGGAAAGAACTGAGGAGGCGGAAGTGTATACCCGGACCGGGCGACCCCTTCTTCGCTTTCTCTACACAGAACAGCCCGAGCCCACATCATCTGAGTGACCAAGAAGGTCTGGTGATACATGCATCTGCATCTCATTACCCGCAGATGTAGTGATGTCACTGTGTCTGGCACGTGACCGGCTCGCGTGCAAAACGACGCGAACGTGGTATGCACAAGGACTTCCACTTGACACACGACCTTAAAGGCATGGCTACATCTCAAGCTCCAACCAGACAAGCAATCACACTCAAGGGTTCATGTAGCCTGGTCACCGAGTTCTTTAAGTATGCCGCCAACACGTGCGTGTCTTGTTCAGTGGCCCTGCTTGTATCCTCAGTGTCCCCTGCACTCGGTTGAATTTTCGTTGATCAGTCGTGTGCATGCAGGGTTCTCTTCCAGCGTGGTGTATATCCATCAGATGACTTTCATATGGTGAAAAAGTACGGACAGACGGTGCTCGTGACCCAAGATCTAGCGCTGGAGAATTACCTTGACAGGTTCGTACCAATTCATTCCTAATCTTCCGACCTGTAGGTTTACTCATCCAGTCTGCTTGCATCCTCAGGATTCTGAAAACAAGTGAACAGTAAGCCCTTTTTCGCTCAATGTAATTGTGGAACGATGTGCAACTGGTTTGAATCCCGTTAGAATGGCTCCTGACCGGCGCAGTCACCCAGCTCGTCCTTGTTATTATCTCAAAAGACTCGCGGGTACCACTTGAACGATGGGTCTTTGACATCAATGTCATCGAGCCGCCCTCCGACTCCACAGAACCGTATGTCTCACTTCTACACACCTCTCACCTCCCTCACCCTCACCCAGGTCACCCCAGAAACCGGAGTCCGAAATCCAAGCCGAGATTCGTTCCATCCTCAAACAAATCGTCTCTACAGTCACTTTCCTTCCTATAATTGACGACCCAACAGTCTTCAATATCCTAGCATACACCAAAGATTCGGCGGACGTCCCTGCAGACGAATGGGTTGATACAGATCCGCTCGCAATTGAAGCTAGCAAGAGCCAACAAGTCAAGCTGAGAAGTTTCTCCACAGACGTACATAGGATCGAGGCGATGGTTGCATATCGGTATGAGGGATAGCGTTGGAGTAGTCGTATCGTCTGCATTGTTTGGCAGGAAGTCTTGCAATGCAGTAAGTGGATGGACGACCTTCACAGTGTTACAACGTACCCCAAGCCTTTGATGATATCTATTTCCCTGAAATCCAAGTCTGCAGTGTGTGCATTTGGGTGACTCCGTCAACTCGCTCCATGTGACACACTGGTGGTGGCCAGTCCGATGTGAAAGAAAACGTATTTAAACTATGTTACACTTACATCCGACAACGGCCATAATATCGACCAATAACGAGAAAAGATGTGAGCGATTGTATCAAGAGGGTCGTAGTATAGGGAACCATTAGGTATCAGTCCGTTTCCATTGGAGCATCACTGGCCTGTAGTGTGCATAATATCTTGACAGTGCCAGCGCCAGCACGCGAAGAGTGGTGAGAGAGGACGGCCTAGCGAGGAATTCATGAACACAGGCTTGCCACGAACTCCTTGACAGCATGCCAATAATCCATCTGCATAAAAGTATTGTCTATGGCGCTCCAGAATCAGTTCCAGAAACCGGTTCATGAAAATGACAAATGACGCACTGTGATACCCGTCTGGCAACTTCACGAACCTCGACCTTGCATTCCCCACTTCGGAGTTCGGCTCACCGTTTGGCTCACCTGAGCCTACTGGAGCGCCTCCATTCCCATCTCTACTGTCCACTTTTATCCCCTGCCTCCTAGACGCAATCTCCCATAACTCTGTCATATGCTGTGGGGGAACAACTTCGTCTCTCTCACCGCTTAACATCAAAATCGGCGTTTCACGGGGGATGAGTGGAAGCTTTGATGCTGAGTCCCATTTCTGGTGACACAGGATTGTAAGGGGAGAAGGGATTGGAGTAGCGTGGGGGATAACTTGGGGAAAAGAGGTAAAGGTATTCTCGAGGATAAGTGCATGGATCTGATGTGGTTAAGTGGTAACTAGAAGGAGCGACCGTAAGAACGAGGGGTGCTCGCCTTGGATGGGTTCCGACTTGCAAGGTGGATAGCGACGGCGCCTCCAAGTGATTGTCCGTACAGGATCTAAGCCATAGGAAAATACGCATTCAGTGTAATCGGTACAATCAAATGGTGGTAACCGCTTGCCGAACGAATTACGCACTATGGGGGTTCCCCGCAGGTTCGCATGAGCGAGGATATAGTCCAGCGCGGTTTGTGCGTCTATGCAGAGGCCTAGATACTCGCCGTTTACCGGTACAAATGAAATCTAGTAACACAAAACCCACCTGACTCTGATGGTCTTCCTTCGGAGTCGCCGTAACTGTGCAAAAAGAATAAATTGTTAACAACACAGCGAGAAAAGGGTTACACAATACGTACCCTCTGTAAGAGAGCATAAAGACGTTGCAACGCATCTCATTATAGAACATGCGTGCAAGCGGTATTCTCTGTCCGAGGTTGCCTCCATTACCGTGGAACATGAGGATCGTAGGACGCGTTGCTGCGAACTACGATGAAGCAGGTAGGGAGGGAATGATAAAAGTAAGATGTGGCGAATACCAAAAGCTGAACACGTACCTCGTCGTCCGACATCTCATCGTTAACCAGGATCTGCAGCGCATATCGACGAACAACCTCCTTTCGTTGTGTCAGGAGATAGCACCGCAGCAACACGCCGTCCTCCGTCTTCAGCTCAACGCCTTCGTAATGAAGACCATACATATCAGGTGTGGGAGCCTCTTTGAGTTCAGTTGAGGAAGACCACGCAGGGGCGGTGGCGGATGAAGAATTTACGAGGGAAGGAACTGGGGTAAGTGAACTGAAGTGCAATTGAACAGGGAACGCTCACCAGTGCGTGATTCCGGAGGAAATGCAGAGGGATATATGAGATAGTTCTGGCCATAGTATAATAGTCTACAACCTGGATGGACGAGTATTTGTCGAACGCCACCCGGTGAAGACAAACAGTCTATCATACCTATTGTCCCAACTTCCGCACAGACAGTCGCTAGGCCCTAGTGCAGCCGTTTAAGACCGGAACGATTCAACAAACCAGATGCGAGCTTACCCTTGTGAACTCCCAGAATGCCGCTATTGACTGAGACATTGTCTTGCAACAGGTCATTGCTTGGCAGACCGCCGCACACAAGCTGTACTCAGTTAATATGGCCCGCTTTACCATGGTTTGGCCATGTTTTGTCACCAACAAGGCTGGTGAAGACACAAAAGTGCACCTCAAAGTTGCTATGGTGCTGCTCACTTAGAGGCCACTAATTTTGTGCAGTGGCCAAATTGGTGATGGAAATTTTGGACCCTAACCCTAATCCTAGAAGATGTGTATGTAGTTTGCTCACATGGCAGTTGCCAGCTCTCCATTCTCCATGTACAGCAGTTTCCATGCTAGATGACAGGATGATTTTGTGTTGCACAGTAAAGAAATTAGCTTTTCATGAACCCTCCCTCCACAGTGTACCCATTCAAGCATGATGGTGAAAGGCCACCACAAACAGAAAGCTGCATGCCCATGCAGCATGCTGGGGATCAACAACTAGTGCTGCAAGAGCAGGGAAAGGGTCAGAAGACCAACAGATAACCATGACAGAGGCAGTTGCATGCCCCTTGCTTGAGTCAGAACCAGCTGGGACTTAGCCAAGGTTAGAACTGTCCTGGGCCTCCCAAGACTAAGCCTGATCCAGCATGGCACTTGAGACTAAGGATGCAGAGGTTCCAGTGACTGTTGCATGACAGTTTGATCTTCTGTATATTAAGCAGATGTCCTGAGTTTGTGTACTGCTATTTGGTCTGTCCCCAGTTTGCCCTCAACCCTGGATATGCAGATAGGTGCATAATTGGTTAAGTTGAAGTTTCTGCCACATTAGCTCTGCTTTGCAAGGAAGTCTCTGAGAGGGGGAGCAGGAGTTATTCACCCAAACAATGCTAGAGATGTATTACTCCACTGCTTTTTCAAACATCATGGAATCCTAATTTATTGCCTCACAGGGGAAATTCCTTTTTTGCAATGGTATCAAGGACCTTCCAGACATGGCAATAATAGAGGCAGTTTTAATGAAACATGCAGGTCACAAGACTAGGTGCTATTGAGTGCTGTCCTCAGCCTGGGAGCTCAGGGAAGCTGAGCACTACAGCAATTTTATGAAGTTTATCTATCAAGCCAACTGTAAGAAGTATGGAGTGAAGAAGTTTGTGGGGTTGCAGAGGGGAAACCCAGAGAGGAATCTGTAGGGAACCTCAGTAGTCTGTCAAGCTACCAAGGGACTAGGTAAATTTTACTAGTGTATGTGTGCGCTCTAACTGCTTATGTAAGCGACATGATCACATGCCTAAGTCCAAGTAAGGACAGGGGTCATTTCACTCCAACACTCCCCCTGAAACAGCACAGGGTAAAACTAAAAGGTAAAACATAACCCAAAGTATCAGGAATGAAATATACCAAATGTATAATCAAACATGCAAATATGCAAATTTTGGGTGTGCAGCTTGACTTGTGTGTGTGCAATGTTGGCACATCATCTGATTATGTAATTGTGCTGCATCTTGTTGCATCTTCCAGCCACTGTGCAAGCCTCACAAGTGTGCTCACTCACTCAAATATATACTGTTTGGCCATCCATGCATCCTTGGAGTCCTGAAGTCGACTCAGCATGGTCCTGCATGCCTCAAGGCATTTCATGAGGGCTTGGGTATGGTAACATGGATCCTGGGGGGCATCTTGCCTTGTTTTGACTCCACTGACCTCTTTAGGTACCATTTTGATGCATCTGCATTGATGCCTTGGCCTGTAAATTCTATGGAGGTGCTCCATGTGCTCCATAGGTGATTTTGACGATACAGGTATGTTATCTTTTGTGTTTGTGCTTCGGCTGTCATGCTGACTAACCTCTCCAGGTATCAGCGCTTCCTTGAGTCGCTCTGAGTTGCCACCATTGTCGTTTGCCATGCCAATATTGTTGCCTCATTTGCCATCACCTTTGTTGAGTGTCTCGCTCTCTATGCTTGCCGCAATTGGCATGACTGTGCCTAACACCTCAAACAGCCTTTTGATGCCTTTGAAAGCGGATGCTCGCCCCAGAACCTCGAACTTGATGCATCCACATCGACATCTCAGTACAGAGGTCCTGCAAATGTGTTCCACACATCCTACAAGTGGTATCAATGATGCAGGTATGTTTCTTGCCCTCGGTGACCAGTCTCTGTCATAGTACTGAATGCTGCTCCCAGCTAGCATCCTCATCTCCACTCTGAGTGTGTCAACAGCATCATTGCTCATCACACTGGCTGTGCTGCTCTCATCCTGCATGCTCCCCTTGTCACTGGCCTCCCTTGGCTGTGATTCAATGTCCAGTGGGTATGCTTGTGATTTGGCTGTCTTAGTGCTGGTAGGCCCTGTCTGCAGCCTTGTCTCACTTGCCTTGATGTCTTCATTAATCTTCCAGCATGTCCTTGTGCCTTTGGGCACTCCTGGCTCCCTAGCTTTGTCATCAGGTAAGCTCTTGAGTGTGCACCAACCTTGATAGGATTCTTGTGGTATTGCTGGTGCACAGTTGTGCTCATTTTGCAGCATCTTGACCTCTTGCACCTTGCTGGACCCCACTGCATGCTGTTCAGCAGCCATAGTGCCAATTCCTTCCTTCAGGCACTCCTCTGGTGTGTACTGACACCTACAGGTCTTGTTTGTTATTGCCAATGTGCAACCCTGCACCTCCAGGTGCACTACCATGCATGAGCTAAACCTGACACCCTCACTTCACTCTGCCCTTACCTTGGCAGATTTCATTCCTGCCAACACTCTGCCAGTTGGAGTTCTGCTCTTTCCATCAGACTTGCTTCCAAACCTCTCCCCAGACCTCATCCAGTGTTGGAGTTGGTTGGAGTAGGCCCAGACTTGACACCTTCCAAAATTGGAAAGGATTTGCACACTCCACGTGTTTCTACAGCACTCCCTCCAAAAGACACTTATTTTGCTAATTCTTCTGATATGGCTACCTCCACACCAATCATTTTGCTTGTCCCCTTTGCTAGGGACCATGGCTACACATATCTACCAGGGGTTCCTACCAGCTTCCATCCTGAAGTGTCCTGGTACATCCCATCCTTGTCTGCCCCCTCTCAGCCCATCCAGCTTGGACAGTGTGTTCTTTTCATCAGTATGACCTCTAGGAGGATGTTCTTTGGTTGCCTCAGGTCTGTCATCCACTTGGAAAGGTCTTATGTGGTCATTTCAATCTCTCCAGTCCAAGAAGCATATGGATCCTTCCTCCCTCCTCCCTGCAACATCTTCATACCAGTCTCATCCATCATTCTTCCAAAATTGCAACAGCTACAGTATAATCTACTGTTCTCCACTCTCCCTGATTGCATCCATGACAAGTATGATGCACATCTTGCCTCCTTATTGCAAGATACAGCAGAAGACACTCCCCCTTTGTCCTCTCTTCCAACAGAGCCTCATTCATGAAGTTTTTATTTGCTTTGTTGAGAGGACGGTTAGGGGGGGAAATTTGCAATCCCCTATGCTCCTGTCACCCCACAGACCCCCAAAGCTTGACCCCTGTTGACATCTGACTCACCCTGTCTGCTTTTGGATGAACTATATCAGCGTCAGATCAGTGCTGCCTCTCTGTCATCCCACTTTGGCCCAGAAGCAATCTCTTCAAGATGTGACATGCACAGCCTCCCCCTAATGTGATTCCAGTGCACTTTCCAAGTTTCTGACATTACTTGACTCATACTTTGACAATCTGACTGTCTTTGACTCACCTATTGCCAATACTTACCAATCTTTTGACTTTGCTTACTGATTCTTTGCTTTTTGGCTTACTTATCCTTACCAATGCTCACCAATGCTCACCAATGCTTTCTAAGATGATTACCCACCACTTACATTCCTTGCTTATCACTTACCAATCACTTACCAAGTGTTTGCACCTTGTTTTCCATAGGCAACACCCCTGTACTGTATATAAATCACTGTACTTAGATAGCTGAATAAGAAGAAGACATCAGGGAGCCCCTCTTGCTCACAATTTATCATCTCTCAGTAATTCATTCAGCAGCTTCAATAGTTGAGACTTTATTAAGGGTCTAGCTATCATCTACTTTGCTTATCATCATCTATTATCAATATACTTCATTCCAAGTCCTCCCTGAGCTCAGTGCAGCTCAGAGCATTGAATTAAGTTGCCATCCATCCTTCTGTAGGCTGACAGCAGTCTACTCTATCACATTCTATCACATTCTTGCTCCCTCTTCATCAGGAGCACCCCCAACTCTCAGCACTCATCTTTGAGTGTTGTAGCTTGCAAAAACCCACCCAAATCAAATGTCCTACCATCTAGGTACTGCATAGGCACACCACCACTTGCTTTCATTGTCTTTTGTGTCAGTTTTGGTTGGTTTGCACCACTGAACCACACTTTGACTCACACCATGCCTCAACCCTGGCTGGACTTGGCCTCACATTCATCCAGTCTGGCCTCAGCCTTGCCAATCCCTTACCCCCAGTTGGTCTAGTGCAGTTAACACTGCTTTTCAGTGTGTGTTACTTCAGTTGAACACTGCCTAGTCTTGTCCCTGGTCCACCCTGTCCCAGTCTCTGCTCATCTTAGTCATACATTACAAATATATCATTCTTACCAATCACCTTAGCAATCTTTGTGAGACTGGCATTACCAGTCTCCATACTATAGTTTTTAGTATATAAGCTCTTAGATACTCAGCCTGTACTCCCTCAGTCTGAAATCAAATAAGTCTCATCTGATATTCCCACCTTGGACTGTGACCCATGCAAGGGAATAGCACTGCATCATCAGTCACTAAGTCCAATCAGTCCACCCTCTGTACCTCTGCCTCTTCCCCTGATCCCAACCCCTTGGCCTTGCACCAGCTTTGGTCTCTGGTCCAGCCTTGAACCTGGACTTGACAGACTTGACAGACCCCAACAGTTATGAAAATCTCAAAAATGATACTGGTGGGCCAAGCAAGGGGAAAGTGGTTGTTGGAGGGGAATATAGGATGCATGATGCAACAAGGGGATTTGGTGGCATTGGGAGCTTTCATACTTTTGATGATGAAAATGATGCATCACCTGTGACAGAGGGTCACAACACAGTAAGTGGGATTCATGCATTATAAGATTTCTTCTGATTCACCAGTCCTTCAGGCTGCCAGCCATATGTAACTACCAAATACATAGCAGTCATTCTGGGTGAAAAAGCCTTCAAAAACACAAAGTATGGTCTCTTCCATCAAAGGGACAATCCCAATACTAAATACATAGCAGTCAGTCTGGGTTGTTGGAACATAAAGTGCCCCTGTGGTACTTAACCACTGTGCGATGTTTTGGCTGCTTACATAAGCTGAAATAGCACACATACTTGTAGTATTTTCTACTAGTATTCCCTCAGTAGTTTGTTCACTGCTGAGGGTAAGTCTGTTTATATTACAAGTATTCTACTATACTGACATCCTGTAGTAGCTTACAGGTACAGTAATACACTCAGTAGTTTGTTCACTACTGAGGTAGCCTACAGATATTTCTACATGGGTGAAAGCTGAGAGGGGGCAGACAAGGATGGGATGTACCAGGACACTTCAGGGCAGAAGCTAGTAGGAACTCCTGGTAAATACACATAGCCATGGTCCCTAGCAAAGGGGACAAGCAAAACAAAAGATGTGGAGGCAGCCATATCAGAAGAATTAGCAGAATGAGCATGTTTTGGAGGGAGTGCTGTAGAAACATGTGGAGTGTGCAGATCCTTTCCAATCTTGGAAGGTAGGATCACATGACTGAGCACTATAAGTGAGTGTGGGAATGGTGTTAGTATCTGCAGAAATAGTGGAGATACATTGAAAACTGGAATGCCATACATGGGTGCTTAAGAATTTTTACTGGCACTTAACTTGCTTCCTTCTTTTGTTTGGCATTGACAACTCATTCTTGTGTGAAGGATAACTGCCAATGTTCCTGGTGGTCATTCTACACATGAGGGCTATAGTCTTCATCTCCATTCATCAGCAGTATACATGTCCACCTCACCAAACACCTTTGGTGTGTGACAGTGGATTCCTTACACTGCATTGGAGCATAACATTTTCAAACTCTGCCTCCTAGCACCAAAGGGAGACACCAAGCTGTCTGCCAGTACCTAGCACCTTGACTGGCCATGGATGTCATTCAGTCTAGATTGGTGGATGCTCATGCTGGTGCAGTGTCACACACCAAAGGTGTTTGATGACATGGACATGGATATTGCTGATGAATGGAGATGAAAGACTGGAGCCCTAATGCATAAAATGACAGCCAGGAATGTTGGCTTGTCCTTCACACAAGAATGAGTTGTCAGTGCCAAAGAAGAGAGAAGGAAGCAAGTTAAGCACTCAAAAATTCTTAGCACCCATGTATGCCATTCCAGTTTTTGACATATCATATCTCCCCCATTTCTGCAGATACTGACACCATTCCCACACTTGTCTATTGTGCTCAGCCATGTGATCCTAACTTCCAAAATTGGGAAGGATTCTCACACTCTGCATGTTTCCACAGCACTCTCTCGAACAGATGCTCATTTTGCTAATTCTTTTGATATGGCCACCTCCATATCAATCATTTTGCTTGTCCCCTTTGCTAGGGACCATGGCTACATATATTTACCAGGAGTTCCTACCAGCTTCCATCCTGAAACATCCTGGTACATCCCATTCTTGTCTGCCACCCCTCAGCCCATCCAGCTTGGACAGTGCATTCTTTGTATCAGCATGACCTCCAGGAGGACATTCTTTGGTCACCTTAGGTCTGTCATTTGGATACAAAGGTCTTGTGTGGTTGTTTCAGTCTCTCCAGTCCAAGAAGCATATGGATCCTTCCTCCCTGCTCCCTGCAACATCTTTGTACCAGTCTTGTCCATTGTTCTTCCAAAATTGTGACAGCTACAGTATAATCTACTGTTCTCCACTCTCCCTGATTACATCCATGATGAGTATGATGCACATCTTGCCTTCTTGTTGCAAGGTACAACAGAAGATGCTCCCCCTTCATCCTCTCTTCCAATAGAGTCTCACTCATGAAGTTTTTATTTGCTTCACTGAGAGGACAGTTGGGGGAGGGGGGGGGGGACATGATCCCCTATGCTCCTGTCACCCCACAGACCCCCAAAGCTTGACCCCTTTTTGACACCTGACACCTGCTGTCCCTTATGGATGTCCTGTATAGGCATCAGATCAGTACTGCCTCTCTGTCATCCCAATTTGGCCTAGAAGTGATTCCTTTGAGATTTGACATGCACAGCCTCCACCCAATGTGATTCCAGTGTGCTTACTCAGTGTCTGACAATGCTTAACTCATACTTTGATATTCTGACTGTCCTTGACTCACCTGTTGCCAATACTTACCAATCTTTTGATTTTACTTACTGATTCTTCACTTTTTGGCTTATTTATCCTTACCAATGCTCACCAATGCTTTCTAAGTTGGTTACCCACTGCTTACACTCCTTGCTTTTCAGTTACCAATCACTTACCAAGTGTTTGCACCTTGTTTTCCATAGGCAACACCCCTGTATTGTATATAAATTACTGTAGTTAGATAGCTGAAAAAGGAAGATGCCAGAGAGCCCCTCTTGTTCACATTTCATCATTGTTCAGTAATTCATTGATCAGCTTTGATGGTTGAGGCTTTATTAAGGGTCTAACTATTGTCTACTTCACTTATTATTGTCTGTCATCAATCAGCTTTGCTGAGCACTCTCTATTAAAAAAAAAACACTCTTGGATTTTTCTGCCCTCCAGGTTCTGCAGAGGCAAACTACCACTGGTTTTTATTTGTCATTGGTGTTAGTTTTGGTTGGTTCACACCAGCTTTCCACACTTTAACTCACACCACAAGCCAGATGACACTGAGGGGAGAGGGTCTTTGAGGAAAGCTGCATGTGCAACAGGGAAGGGCTCAGGTAGTGCCAGCAAGGGGAAAGGCAAAGAAAAGATGTGTGTCATACCCCAGAAAATGCTGGGCATGATTACTGACCTCAACAAAAAAACTCTGCAGGTGACTGATGAAGTTGACAAGGTCACAGATGACAAGCCAGGCCCCTTGAAGAAGGGCACCCAAATGACTGGGCCTGATGAACCCTGCAGGGCCTGCATACTGGCCAAGACTGTATGCATGGGGAGCCTAGATCATCATGCAAACAATGCCAGACCACTATGAGTCAAACTGCAGTTCAGTGGTGTAGACCAACCAAAACCAACACAAAAGACAATGAAAGTGAGTGGTGGTGTGCCTCTGCAGTACCTATATGGCAGAGGGTCTTATTCAGGTGAGTTTTTGCAAGTTACAACACTCAAAGATGAGTGCTGATGGTTGGGGGTGCTCCTGACAAAGGAGCCAGAATGTGAGAGATTGCAATGGGGTAGACCAATAGAAGTGAGCATGTTTCTATTGTGGATATCAATAGATCCAACTACACAATTGCTCATCCTCCAATGTGGACCACAGCATATCCTTGAGAGAGAATTAACAATAGAGTAAATGGATAGGAATATACATATGGCAATGATCATGATATTTGTGCAGGCCAGGTTAAGGCTGACTGTACCCACCATTGACAGTATCAATACACCAGTGCCAGCCTCTTGTGTGGACTGGTGGAACTCATTCAACACTGATTTGTGCTTTGCTGGGCTGAGCTTCCCATGGAGCTCCAAAGCTTTGATGCCATGTAATTTCAGAACCTAGTGAATTGATCACTACTGAATGTCAACATTATATTATGAATGTGACTTACATTGATGATGGCTGCATCAGAGCTGGGGAAAGCTGAGAAGATGGTAATATGATTGGGTTCCTTCCCAACAGGCTTGTCAACTGCCATTGACTGACCCACTACAAGGGTCATACCATCATAAAGAATGTCAAGAGGGGGGGAGAGTTGTCAGTGCAAGATGGTGGGTGACAATTTCAGCAAGGACATCCAAGTTTGTTGAGCAGCAATTGCCTTTCCACTCATCCAGTGAGGCCAGAGTGCTCCACATGTCATTCCCAGAGCTGAGATCCATATTGGGGTGAAGTAGGCTGCATTGGAATTCAATATAAAAGTTCTGATGATAAACATATCAGTGGAATGTTGGAACAAGGGCATCCAGGACACCCTCATGCAGGGTGATAATTTTTGCTCACTAACTGTGCAAACAAAAACACACAGCAGTGTGTGAGCAAGGGTGTTGCAGACACCCATACACACAGGTCTGGGATATCAAAGCCCATGACATCACTCAGTGTGTATGCAAGGGCATTGTGGACACTCATACACACAGGCAAGGGACTGAGTCAAGCTGATGACATGACTCAGTACATGAGGGGTGTCCAGGATGCCCATGTCATGTGAGCAATGACACATTTTGGTTCCCACACCAGGGAATTCATGCTTGCCATGGCAGCAGGCACCCTGGACATCCTTCATCATCTGCACATGAGAGAAACAAATACAACACTTGTCTTTCCAGCCCCTGCAATTGTATTTACCAAGGGTGAGTGTACCAACTCCTCAGTAATTGTTGCAAGGCCACTCCTCTCCCACTTATGCAGTTTGAGGAGCATGATGTATTCCTGGTATGGTGGAAGGCCAAAGATCTTGTTGCCATGGTAGTTGAGAGAATTGAGTGTTCACCTGATGACATGCTTGCTGAACCAATCACAGAGCCAAGGCACCCATTGCTGAAGGACAGGCCAGATTTTGGTATTGTGTTTGACCATGTTCTCCTCACTGCTGAGCAATCCTCAAAGTCAGTCTTCTGCCAAGTGACATTCAGCCTTTCAGCTCTTTGCCTGCACACATGATAATTCCCAGCTCATCTCATTGAATTTCTCCTTGTTCTGTAACACTGGGACTCACATCATCCAGCCCATAATCCACAAATCCTAATTTCCATAGATTAGCAATGTAGTATCCAACATGATCAACTGTTGGACTTACCTGAAGCTGTGTCATGATTGGCATCACAGACATGGCAATGATCATTGCTGATTGGTGATGGAGGCCAATGATGGCCTGATGGAATTTGTTGAACTTGCATGCCTTATGATTATGTGCCTTGTCAATTATCAATCCTAGATATTGGTGACTGAACACTGTCTTCAGCACATTGTGTTTGTACACTGGTGCACATTTCACCTCATCATCTATGCTGTGGAAGAGGTCAAGGAAAACTGCAGATCCATCATCCTGAATGGCCTATTTTCATGTAGGACAACTGAACCAAGAATATGTGTGTGATACATACTGTATTGGTTGCCAGAATGATTTGCTGATGGGGTTGTTGGCAACTTTGCAGTTTTACTCAAGTCCACCACTCATGGGGCTTGGTGAACTTCTGAATGTATGGGAGGATGTCAAAGGAACTGCACTGCAAAAAGCACTCAATTTCATGCTGCCATTGATGATGCAGTGAGACTGGGCAAATGATTAAGAAGGGTAAGTTGGAGATGTTCCCCTCCTTCCCTTGCCATTTCAGATTTGCTATATGATCTATCAGTGTCTGCACACACAAGATGAAATGAGTTGTTACTCACCAAACATGCTGGGAAACTTGCCATGTGTCTCAAAATGGTGTCAGAACCATGACAGATATGTGATAAGCCCAAGCACCTGGAAAGCTTTTCCAATGCTGACATCAGGAGGACCGGTTGGCTGTTGAATGCCCTTTGCAACATCCAAAGAATGCCAATCAAATGGTGCCATCTGGCTTGGAGTGCCTTGCACATGCTGGTGGGGTTGTTTAGCCATGCTTTGCCTTCTTTGGACCAAGGCTCAATCATCACATTGGGGTTGGTGAATTCCTGGAGGAGGGGGATCTTCTTCCCCCTTCCAAGCAATATTGATATTTTCACCATCAGGAATTTCTAGTGCAATGTTATTGGGTTGAATGTTTTCAAGTGCAGCTTGCACTAGCTGTTCTACCTTGTGAATTTCACTCTCAGTTGTGAGTTTTTAAGTGCATCATGAAGGGCCTTTGGAAGTTCTGTACATATGTTAATAACATAGGGACATCACCACAAACTTGGATACTTACTAGCAATCTCCTCTGCTTTAGTGTCATCATTCTGTGCAGCTGCAAGCATCATCTCAATTTGTTTTCTTCAATCTTCTAGCTTGTCCAGGGACTCTGCATCTTCATATCAGCATAAGATAGTCATCAATGACTGGACATGTGCCAAATATGTTAGCCACCTTCTTGCTACTTCACTTCCCTTGCATCCAGATGAGCAACTGGTTGCTTTTTTGCTCTAATGTCAGCAGCTGTGTTGGTTGCAATCAGTGGCAGTCTCTACTTAATCCCTTGGCAGTCCAGTTTTTTTCCCTAAGCACTTGCTAATCAGCTTTCTTCTCTTGGGTCCAAAGAAGTGACCAGTCACTTATTTTCTCTACTCTCAGTGGCTGTGCATTTCCTTATATGGTGGTTGCATTCAGTGGCTGTGTTATTTGCATGCATGCAACCTTCCATACAGGGCAGGTTGCAAGCAAAGGCAAGGGTGGACTCCAGAAAGTAGATTATTAGGCATGGGGATGGTGATTATAGCAATGAAATAATTTCAATACATGCAGTAGAGTGAAGACATGTATTACATGTGCTACTGACAGGAAATGCAGAGGACATGGTGAATTGTTATTGTGCAGAGGAATGGGAAGGGATGAAGAGCAAGGACAGAACACTTGCCTTTTAGCTTAGTTGAGACAGTAGGTTTGAAGATGGTTTTTAGAGTAGAGCTGGGGTTTGATAGAAGTAGATTGTTCTGTAGGTAGAACAATGGGGAGTACAGTAGAAATCCCTGAGTTTATATACATGTAGACCTATGCATGGACCAGTAGTGTATAAGGAAGGTACTACTATGTAAGGCAAAGAACAGCAGAGAATGTCATGGAACATGACATAGTAAATGATGCCATACATCAGTAGACCACTTTGTGAGCTGGTGGTCCTAGGGAATCTGTCCAGTGCTGGACAGCTCTGGCCAGCAAAAGTGATTTACTGATGTACTAATGTCATTGTGGAGCTGTATGACTGAGCATGTCACCTGATACAACATGTGTATCAAAATGTGTAAATCTAGAAGTGTCTAGATGGTCAGAACTAATATATTTCCAACAATTGTAACAGAAATGAGAGAGATGTAGACAGGCCTCAGTTTGCCATAGCATGGGTTGTTCATTTGAACATGAATATGATAATGGCAAAAGGGTGTGTGGTTCAAGGGTGAGAGTGATATGGGGCAAAGGTCTGATCGTGAGTGATCAGTGGGTGATGTGAATGGGGAACAGACTGACTAACCTTTGATACAACACATGTCAATTATGGATCAATGGTCACTGTTGACAAGCTCATAGCTGAGAAGAGCATTTGATAGCCTTGATGAATGAAGCATTGGTTCAGTAGACAAAAGAAGAATGGAAAAGAGACTCACCAGCAATGAAGGACACATAAGTTAGCACCATGGTAGAACCACTGAATGTCCACCCAAAAATCTGGCATTAAGTCTATGTGTGAGTCAAGATCAAAGAAAATGAGGGATGACACACCTGCTCCATATTGTGTGGTTGTATGTAAAGCCCTTTGATCATTCCAAACCAGTAGGACATCAAGATTGGTCACTGACATCATCCAATGTGATTCCACCCTCAGGGTGGATGGAAATTCTGTGAGGGTTGAGGGAATTGAGGGATCAGCATGATATATGTATAGATGGATACACATGTATTTCCTATTTTGTAGTGGATGACTGTTGGATGGTCATCATTGTCATTGGCCTCATATAAGTCTGGAATGGATTTGTATTTACACACATAGTGCAGAAGAGAACTCACATTCAATAACATTGGATTAGAGTAGGCCACTGAAATCAGGTGGAGAATCCATGTTTGGCATGTTAATGATTGCATTGCATCGGGTGGTGTGGGCATTGATGGACATGGTGCTGGCAGTTTTGATGCAGCATCCATGATGGTTATGTGGGGGATGAATGGGATGACACAAAACATGCATACCATTGATTTGCACAAAATGTTGGGTTTCTTGTTGACCAATCAGCCAATCACAAATTGGATATGGAAGATGACATATGGATCATGCAAAAACAGGGTACACTGTTTTTGTGTCCATAAGAGGGTAGAAATATGCTCCAATAATCACACATATACATACACACCAGACCAGAAGATGGTCAGTGTTTGCATGGTCTCAGCCATTGAGAGATGATACATAGTGAACATGGAGTTAGTATAATCTCACCTTTGTTGTATATCATCACTACCCATTGCCCACCAAATCCTAGCAACCCCTGTGAGTCATCACACTCTTTAAAGTACTCATTAAGCTCCCCAATGTCAGCCACCCTGGCCTCCTCTGTGTGCTGTATCATCAGCCACAATTCAAGTTTGTGAAGTTGGGATACCTCCTTCTCTTGCCATGTATTATTAAATCCATGCATATGATGCTGGCCTCCAGTAGTACTTCCAGCATCATTTCCCTCAATTTATGGTTGCCACTTTGTAATAATAATGCCCTTGGGGTATGTATATTATCTGATGTGGTTTATTTGTATTACATGCACTACAATAGACCTATCAGAGTCTGGTAAAGATGATTTGTGGGCTTGAAACAAGTCCCAGGGTGGCCCAGTAAATGTGGACAGGGGCTTTGGTGCTGGACTGATGTTCACAGGTGTTTGCCTGTGTTCAGCAGTGTTCATTATGCTGTATGGACCTGGGAATGCCTCTCTAAGGTTGATTGGAATGGTGTTAGGGGGATGAACACCATTCCAAGAGGTCATGTGACCTCCCTTCAGACTCCTCCTTGACAGTGTGCACACCTCATGGTTCAGTGCCTGGATTGTTTCCTTTTTGGTCTGTTCTAGTTACCCATTGCATTTTCTCCATCTTCCCTTCATTTGTCATCCAGGAGGTTTTCACTTGAAAATTTATGAGTCTCCACATGTCAGTTCCAATTCTGGTTACTGTACCTCTGTGTTAGTATAAAAAGCATGTACAGTACCCCACTGTTCTTCAGTACAAATATCACCTAAGTTCCTATTCCATATCTCTTCATCTTCTGTCTGTTAGAGTTATCTCTGAACATCTGTCTGGTCTCTACCTCTGAAATATGAGGGCTGAGATCATGCAGGGGTAGCACACAAGCTAAACCTGATGCCCTCACTCTGCTCCACTTCTGTCACAGTGGACTTTGTCCCTGCCAATCATCCACTAGTTGGAGTTCTGTTTGTCTGTGTCAGACTTACTTCTGCACCTCTCCCCAGACCTTGTTAAGTGTCAGAGTTGGTCAGAGCAGGCCCAGACTTGACACACATATGAGAAAACCTGACCAAGATCCTACACTCATGAAGAAGAAGAATTTGCCAGGGAACTGGAAGTGGTATGATAGTGTTCAGTCCAGGCCTGATGTAGCAGACAAGGACTGACTGGATAGCTTGGAAGGGCCCATGATAATGTTTGGTAAGGAAAGTGAAGGAGACCTCAATGCTCATGCTCAGCAGTATCTGGCACTGTGTGAATGCAACTATGCCAAACTGCAACTGATACTGATAGCAAGGACTGCACTTTCTGAAGACCTTGGAATTGGACTTGCTGGTAGAGCCATGCCATGGGCCTTGCAGTTGGTCCAGGACCTGGTCAAAGTAAGTATGCTCCCTAGCACAACTCATCAATGAACTATGCTGACCATCACTGTAGGAGCTGGAGATGTGCTCTGAACTGGCAATCCATCAACACTGTTGCCTACCTGAACCATTTGTCAATTTATCCCCTGGGGAACTGGAGAATCTGTACCCAATTGACTGGGCTGAACTGATGTCAGAGGCACAGGTGAACCTTTACACTGACAAGCAGGGGAATACTGCCCTCCATGCCACAGATGCCTTGCCAACCTTCAAGAATGATGCCAAACACTTGTGGGTGATGGAGAAGAATGCAGAACAGGCTGCAAAGGATAAAAAGAGGGAATTGGCAGAGGCTCACAGGGATGTCAAGACAGTGCAGTCTGTCAGGTCAGCATGTGCAGTGCAAGTGGCTGCAAGGAAAAACCAGAGTAAGTACTTTTACTGACATCTGTGCCAGACCACCTCACCTTGATCACATGTCTGTTTAGGACAACCCAAGTCACTTGAGTTCCTTGAGGACAGTGGTGATGAAATACACCCATGGAAGCAGGTCCATCCAAGACCACAGAGGACAGGAATGCAGGTAAGCTAACTCTGCATAACTCATTGATGAATTGTGCTGACTGACCACACACACCCAGGATCATCCACAACACAGGGTCCTGCTAAATGGACCTGGATGTCAAGACAGTGCAGTCTGTCAGGTCAGCATGTGCAGTGCAAGTAGCTGCAAGGAAAAACCAGAGTGAGTACTTTTACTGTTGTCTGAGCCAGTCCACCTCACCTTGATCTCATGTCTGTGTAGGATAACCCAAGGCACTTGAGTTTATTGAGGACAGTGGTGATGAAGATACACCCATGGAGGTGAAGTCCCTTGGAAAATAAAGTCTTCACAATGGTGGCCAGCTTGGCCTTGTTCTTCATGTGCAGTTGGTGCTCCAATGCCATACACACTGCTCAATTGTCAGTTGTCTCATTTTCCATGGGTGCCAAGGCCTCAAATTTATCCATGGGCATTTGGACTTCTGGTTTCTCCTGTATCCCATCCCCACCATGTCTAACTGTCCTTTGGAACACCACCACAAAACTGCATGAGATGCTGTACTTTGCAACACAACTCTCACACCACTGTAGTTCCCAAGAGCTGTTAATGGCACTCCTTGTTGAGTATTAGTGGTTCCAGTGCCTTCACCAGTTGTGCTGTCCCTTTGAACTTGGTTGTCAGGAATGTTGTGACATGCATTATGTCAATGATGCACTCTGCCACTTGTCTCTGGTTGTCAAACTTGTGGCCCTCAAAGTTGACAGACTGATTGGGGGTTGGATGGAGATATGGCAGGGGTCATGTCACCTGTGTCCAGCTTTCCACTTGTTCCTGATAGGCTTTGATGTTGGCCTTGACACACTCCAAGAATTTTCTTGTCCAATAAAATGTATGATGGCAGTCTTCCCAAAGTAAATGGTTCATATCCACATTATTCCTCATCAGGTAGCTCTGTGCCATGAGGAGTTTGGGCCATTTGTGGCACAAGAAATCATCAATCTGCAATGAATGCCAACATTCTGGTCAGCAAAGCCAGAGAATAAGCAACCAGTTGCTTGTTCTCACCATGGCTATGATTGTTTCAGAACTTGGTCCACACTGTGATGCACATGCAATCCATGCACATGATGCATCCTGCCTTACTCTGTCTCCTCACTGTTGACATGCCATGGCAACAAATGGTTCCACCCAACAGACCACCTAGGTAACTTTGCATCAGATTGACTGCTCCTTGTCCAGTACATAAAAACTCACACCTCCTTGATGATATCTCCAAAATTGATCTTTGGCATGCCAGTGGGATCATGAAAGAGTCATTGGATGTTGTTGAACATCAACTTGTTGCCAATGGGCAATGTCTTGAAGCTAGATGGGTGGCCTGTTTGCAGCATGTACCCCTTGTGAACCCACTCCAACTTGGCATGCACTCTGGCATGGACCTTGTCAACCTCACTGGTGGTGTCCATGAGTGTGATGCTTTGCCCTTCAGTGGTGGCCAGACTAGCCAGTCATTGGAAATATTTGGTCATCAAGTCCTCCCACTTGCCTCTGCTGATTTCATCATTCACAGCCCAGAGGCACCATGGGTTCCCATCCCTATGCTTCTTCATAACCTCTGCCCATGCACTTCCCCATATGTTTGCATACTCATGAATGATCCCCCATGCAAAGTATGGTGATTGCATGGCTAAAGCCCACATGTCTTGTGCCACCTTCTTGCACTCCTTATCCATGTTCAACTCATCCTTACTTGCATTTTCCCTCACAGATGTCAACATTGGAACTGGGATGGGTGCTGCCAGGAATTTGAATACATCCAAGACATATTCACACAGAAGTAATTGTATCTGCAAGGACATTGACATATGGACAATGTTCCATGTAAAGGAAGACCACTTACTCCACCTGTGGAACACTGCCAGCTTTCAAGCTGCAGAGTTGTAAACCCAGTGTCCAACTTTGACTTGACAGACCCTCCTTGGAAGTGTTTGGGGTGCATGAGTTTCATCACACTCATGTACAACACTTCATCCACCAACACCTGACTCAACTGGTTCACTTGAGTGCTGCCTGGTTGATGCTGCACTTCTTGTACATATTTCTCCTTGGCATCCTGGTTGTTTTCCAGGGTCACAAGGATGTTCAAAACCTGATACAACTTGATATTGTCATTGTCAGGCAATGTCACTGCTGGTGCATTGCCACTCAGGTTTTCCAACATCCAAGTACAGTTGGTGTGGACATCCAATTTGTCTGAAAGGTTGTTTGTCATCAGCCATAAAAGTGTCCAGCCACTTATTTTTTCCACTGACCTTTGACCATGACCCACTTTGTTCCAACTTGTCCTTGTGCTCTACACCATAGATACTCTTGGTCAACTGAACTCCCTTTTCATACTGCATATGAGTCCATTAGATAGTCAAGAGCTTCATCACCTCATGGTGGTGATATCTGTTGAGGAAGCTTGCTTTGTGCTTGGCTACCTCCAGTTGCTTATTTTTTTTTCCACTGACCTTTGTTGATGAAGTGGACCAACCATGACCCACTTTGTGTCCTTGTGCTCCACCCCATAGACACTCTTGGTCAACTGAACCTTCTTTGTATACTGAACATGGGTCCATTGGACAGTCATGAGCTTCATCACCTCACAGCAGCAATATCCATCAAGGAAGCTTGCTTCATGCTTGGCTACTTCAGGCATCCAGCTCACATGGTTGGCTTAGGTGCCAAGTTGCACCAGTTGCAATGAACCCAGGTCAATTGCTACTGGTGGCACCACCACCACCATGGCATTCCAGACTACCTTGTTTTGTAGTCCTCACAAGCTGATGCTATTCTTGAGCTGCACCAGATATCTGTCATTGAGTCACCTTGGGTTATGTTCATGTAGTATGAGTATGGGCCCTCATTCCAGGTTGTATTGCTTGTTGGCCTTGTCTCAGATCATCATCATCAGCACATACCCCAGTGACAGGTCTGCAAGTGCTTTTTCATTCACCATGATCTGCATGTCTGCCTCAGTAATCTCTGTCTTCTTGATGTTGGGCACCTGTGACCATCATCATGTCAAATGTGTGAGACCAGTGAAGTTGTGACCACTTACAACATCCTTGCTCAACATGACACAATCAGCTAGCTTTGGAAAGATTTTCTGATGGCATGTCAACCTCTGGCATACCTACCATCACATTTTACTATCTCACACACCTTTGTCTCTCCAGTTTGATCTTGTCTGCCACCTGGTCAGCACACATGTCTGATTTTCAGTCACTTCACACTTGCCTTGTGCTGATACACTGTTGTTTTCTCTGCCATTTCCACTGGTACATTGCTCTGAGGTTGGCATCAAACATCAGACCCCTGGCCAGGTCATACCATCATCCTGTGTAAGACAGATACATCAGTGGCTGATCAACAGACCTTGAATTGGTACTGACCTCAGTGGTTGTCACCTTGCCTTTGCCCTTGGAAGCTTTGGGACCATGCTTTCTGGTTGGAATTTCCTTGGGTGGTGACTATTGGATCAGAATCAAAAATAGGTGACTGGTCACTTATTTGGGCCAATAACATACCATCTGTGCCCTAGTGGATCCTTATGGGATTTCTTCTGATGCTTGCTTTGTGACTTGAAATCATGTCATGTCAGCAACCACCATGGAATCCAAGTCAACAGTGAGTGCTTGACCACTGCCTCTGAGAACCTTCCAGTTTCTGTTCCTGATATCTCTTCCACTTTGTCCTGGTGTCCATGTTTCTACATTGATATCAATTGTTAGTGACATGCACATGCCTTGTGTGTACCATAACCTACCTTGGAATTTTTCTTGGGGTTCTTCTTGCCACCACTCTTCTGCAATGGTCAGAAATGATAAGTGACTGGTTGCTTATTTTTGGATGATGCCAACTTACCTGTTCCGCCTCCATTGCTACATCTCCTCCACCCTGTAGGGCTGCAGAGGCAGTTGGCTGTGAGTGTTGACAAGGATAAGCCACTGGTTGCTTATTTTTGAGTAGTGCAAACTTATCTGTTTGATGTCCATCTTCTCCCCTCTTGTCCCTCAGACACAGTCAGCTATTGGTGTTGACAAGAATAAGCAGCTGATCATCTTATTTATTGGTGATGTGGACTTACTGGTTTGACATCCATCTCTCTCCTGTGACAAGACCTAACAACAGGGTTTGTTGTAGGCTCACACCAAGAACCAAAAGAAGAAGTAGAGAGGAGATGAACATAGAAGCAGGTGGGTTCAGATCTCAAAGACCCAAATGAACTAGCTTGGAGCTAGTCTGGGGATTGAACAGTGATACTTATACTATGGTACATGTGGTAACAGTGAGGCATACATGAGGTCCATGACATCATAGCAGAGTGGAATGTACTAGAAGGTAGGCATGAGGGAACAGCAAGGTGAGGTCTAGACCAGAGTCTGGACCAAGACTGAGGAGATAAGATAAGATGAAGAGATTAGATAAGAGGAAAGGAAAAGGAAAGAAAAGAAAAGAGTATGTATCATAACATCTCCCCTCTTGGCCCTCAGACACAGTGGTGTTGACAAGAATAAGCAATTGGTCAATTGTTTATGGATGATGTGAACTTACCTGTTTGACATTCACCTTTCTGCCCTCCTGGCCCTTGGATGCATTGCCTATGGGTGTCAATGGGAATAAGTGACCAGTGACTTGTGGGAGGAGAGAGAGAGAAAAAACTCACCTTTGACTCCTTCCTTGCTGCTAACCTTTTTTGGGAAGCAGTAGACTAGGCATGTGAAAGATTGATGGCTGCAGCCACATCTGTTCCAGCAGAGACACCCTGAAAAGAAGAAGGTCAGAATAAGCAACTGGTCACTTGTCAGAGGTTCCATGTCACTTACAATGGGTCTGGGGGGCTGGGAAAGCTGTGACATGACATGATACACATGCAAGTCAGTGTGGTCTCCTGGGCATGAGGTATGGCACAACTTACCTGGGGCACAGCAGTCCTTTTGCCAGACTTGCTACTGCTGTTGTTGGACTGCAGGCAGGGGGAGAGAAATAAGCAACTGGTCACTTATTTTTTCAATGACTCTGGCTTACCTTGGTCTGATTTTGGTTGGTGCTGGACATGATTTTTTGTTTGCACCTGTTTGTACTTAATCCCAATGCAGTAGGCAGTGGTTCAAGTTCAAGATGCAAAAGTTACATAGCCACCAATCTGACCTTGGTATATACTTGTTTGTTGATTATATAATACTGTGACTTCCATATTTGGATATTAAATAACCAATCAATGAACTATGTGAAAGTGGTGCTATTTGTTGCTTATGTAATCAATTAAGTAAGCCATACTGGCTTGGGTGTGCACCCAATGGTTGTGGGCATGCCCCACAAAAAAATAGGTGACTGGTCACTTACCTTGGGTACATACACTGGCATTTTGGTTGTCATACCTGTCCAGAGTTGGACTGGCTCATGTGTACACCTCACAGTTGTTGGCATGCCCCACAACCATAAGTGACTGGTCACTTACCTTGATACACTGGTGTTTTGATTGATGCTCCTGACCAGAGTTGGTGTCCTTCTGGAAGAGAGGGACAAAGAGATGTGATGCTGTAGGTTAGGTAGTGAATGCAAAGTCTAGGAGAGAAGGGGACTCCTAGAGGAAGATAGAGATGGGTCCAGTTTGACCCAGAGGAGCTCTGGGCATCGAATGGTGAAAAGAGTCAAGGGAAGGGATTGGAGTTGGGCAAAACAAATGGAGTGGTGAAATGAGCAAATAATTGCATCTGGAGGTCATCCTCAAAGAGGGCTTGTTGCTGTCCTTTGATCACAGTTCACTGTCTTGCTGTCTGGTTTTCACTTATTTTTTTATTGTGTACTGTAGACCTACACTAGTGCGCAAAAATTGCTGACTAAGCTATCAAAGATGTGCCACAAGGTAAAGGTTAAGTATACTAATGTAAATCAAAGCAAAAAATGCAGTAGAAAAGATAAAATAATCAAAACTCCTTAGTAGGGAGTACCTATTCCCTACAATGCAAGGAGCAGAAACCATTTATGAGCATTGTGACCAAAGTGTACTTCACATGTCACAACAGTGCAAGTTGAGCAGCAAAACTCACATGCCTGACCATCTGCTAGTGTTCATATACTGCTTGGTCACTTGTGTAATCCTCTGATGGCCATATTTTCCAATCCTGCAATGTTTTTCCCATTCTACCAATGTCCCATGCACCAGCAATGGATAAGTGACCAGTCACATGTCAAGCCTAGATCAAAAGATGGGATGACAGATGGACAGTGTTTCTAGATGGGGAAGTATTAAATCCAGAAATGGATGGCATGAGTCAGGTGTCAAAGGGCTTGGGCAATGGAGGTCTGTGGGGTAATGGGAGCATAGGGGATCATGTCTCCCACCCATTTGTCCTCTCAGTGAAGTTAACAAAACACTTCATGAACAAGGCTCTGATGGAGGAGAGGGAGAAGGGGGGATATCTGCTGCTGGATCCTGCAGTAAGAAGGCAAGATGCATGTCATATTCATCATGGATGTGATCAGGGAGGCTGGAGAACAGCAGATCATACTGCAGCTATCACAATGTAGGGGGAACAATGGATGAGAATGGAACAAAGACATTACAGGGAGCAGGGAGGAAGGATCCATTTGCTTCATCAAGTGGAGACACCAGGATGACCACATAAGACCTCTCTAACTGAGTGACAGACCTGAGGTGACCAAGGAACATCCTTCTGGAAGTCATACTGACAAGGAGAACACACTGACCAAGCTGCATGGGATGAGATGAGGCTGTCAACAATGGAATGAACCAGGGGGCTTCAGGACAGAAGCTGGTGGGAACACCTGGCAGATATACATAGCCACTATCTCTGCCAAAGGAGACAAGTGAGATGATTGATGTAGAGGCTGCCATATCTGATGAACTTAGCAAAATGAGCATCTGATGGATGGAGTGCTGTAGAAATGCATAGGGAATGAGGATCCTTTCCAAACTCAGAAGGCAGGATCATGTGACTGAGCACTTCAAGCAAGTGTGGGAACAGAGTCAATATCCTTGGAAATGGTGGAGATATGACAAAAACTGGAATGCCATACATGGGTGCTAAAAACTTTTGATGGGCACTTATCTCACTTCCTCTTTTCTCTCTAGCACTGATGATTTGTTCTTGTGTGAAGGATGACTACTAACATCCAGCAGTCCTTCTATGCATGAGGGCTATAGTCTTCATCTCCATTCATGGCACTGTGCACAACTCATTGACAAGTTGGGCAGAGTCAGAACCATGTCCACAACACCTTTGGTGTGTGACAGCATATGAACAGGCACTGATACCCCAGTGTCTTAAAGACTTGACAACTCATCTCTTCCAAATTCTGGTGGCCTGGACTTGCATCCTTCATCTGGAAATATGTTGAAGGTTGTGCTATATGCCAGCAGAATAAAGTAAACACCCACCTGACAACACCACTCCTCATGCCCATCCCCTCAACCTTGACCTGCCCCTTCCAAGAGATCTCTTGCAATCTGGTTACCAATCTTCCCCCTTCAAAGGGTTATGATTCCCTCTTGGTTGTGGTAGACCATGGGCTTACAAGGGGGGTAATTTTAGCACCAACTAAGAAAACAGCCTCCACTGCCAATGTTGCAGCTCTATTTTTCAAGAAAGTCTACTCCCACTTCAGGTTGTATGACAAAATTATATCTGATCAAGGCCCTCAGTTCACCTCAGCATTTGAAAAAGAACTCACATCCCTTTTGGGATATTCCCTTGCTCTGTCTATGGCATATCACCCCCAGACCAATGGAGAAACAGAACACATAAACCAGGAGGTCAAAACACACCTCTGCATCTTTTTCCAAAATGACCCCACTCTCTGGGTGGACAATCTTCCTATGGCAGAATTTGCACATAACCACTGACCTCATTCTGTCACTCACCAATTGCCATTCTACCTCATGTATGGCTATGAACCAAAACCTCTCCTGTCCCTGATTACACTCACCTTCCTGCCACTGAGTCTAGACTCAAAGAACTCCAAAAAGCCAGAGAGGAAGCCCTTGTGGCGCTGTGAGTCAAAGTGAGGTTCAGTGGTGAAAACCAACCAAAACCAACACAAAAGACAATGAAAGCAAGTGGTGGTGTGCCTATGTGGTACCTAGATGGTAGAACCTGTTCTTTGGGAGGGTTTTTGCAAGCTACAACACTCAAAGATGAGTGCTGAGGGTTGGGGGTGCTCCTGACGAAGAGGGAGCAAGAATGTGATAGAAAGCGATAGGGTAGACTGCTGTCAGCCTACAGAAGGATGGATGGTGACTTAATTTGATGTCCTAAGCTGTACTGAGCTCAGGGAGGGCTTTGAGCAAAGTATATGGATGATAGATGATGATAAGCGAAGTAGATGATAGCTAGACCCTTAATAAGGTCTCAACTATCGAAGCTGATGAATGATTTACTGAGAGATGATAAATTGTGAGCAAGAGGGGCTCTCTGATGTCTTCTTTCTTTTTTGCTACCTAAGTACAGTGACTTATATACAGTACAGGGGTGTTGCCTATGGAAAACAAGGTGCAAACACTTGGTAAGTGATTGGTAACTGATGAGTAAGGAATGTAAGCGATGGGTAATTGTCTTGGAAAGCATTGGTAAGCATTGGTAAGGATAAGTAAGCCAAAAAGCGAAGAATCAGTAAGCAAAGTCAAAAGATTGGTAAGTATTGGCAATAGGTGAGTCAAAGACAGTCAGAATGTCACAGTATGAGTCAAGCAATGTCAGGAACTGGGAAAGTGCACTGGAATCACATTAGGGGGAGGCTGTGCATGTCACATCTCGAAGAGATCACTTCTAGGCCAAAGTGGGATGACAGAGAGGCAGTGCTGATCTGATGCCGATATGGTACATCCAAAAGTGGACAGGGTGAGTCAGATGTCAACAGGGGTCAAGCTTTGGGGGTCTGTGGGGTGACAGGAGCATAGGGGATCACAACTTTCCCCCCCAAACCATCCTCTCAGTGAAGCAAATAAAAACTTCATGAATGAGGCTCTGTTGGAAGAGAGGATGAAGGGGGAGCATCTTCTGCTGTATCTTGCAACAAGGAGGCAAGATGTGCATCATACTCATCATGGATGCGATCAGGGAGAGTGGAGAACAGTAGATTATACTGTAGCTGTTGCAATTTTGGAAGAATGATGGACGAGACTGGTATGAAGACATTGCAGGGGGCAGGGAGGAAGGATCCATATGCTTCTTGGACTGGAGAGACTGAAACGACCACATAAGACCTTTCCAAGTGAATGACAGACCTGAGGTGACCAAAGAATGTCCTCCTGGAGGTCATACTGACAAAAAGAACATGCTGTCCAAGCTGGATGGGCTGAGAGGGGGCAGATGAGGGTGGGATGTACCAGGATGCTTCAGGATGGAAGCTGGTAGGAACTCCTGGTAGATATATGTAGCCATGGTCCCTAGCAAAGGGGACAAGCAAAATGACTGATGTGGAGGCAGCCATATCAGAAGAATTAGTGAAATGAGCGTCTTTTGGAGGGAGTGCTGTAGAAATGTGTGGAGTGTGCAAATCCTTTCCAATCTTGAAAGGTAGGATCACGTGGCTGAGCACTACAAGCAAGTGTGGGAATGGTTTCGGTGTCTGCAGAATTGGTGGAGATACGTTGAAAACTGGAATGCCGTACACGGGTGCTTAAGAATTTTATTGGCACTTAACTTGCCTCCTCCTTTTTCTTTGGCATTGACAACTTGTTCTTGTGTGAGGGATGACTGCTGACATTGCTGGCTGTCCTTCTTTGCATGAGGGCTATGGTCTTCACCTCCATTCATCAGCTACATCCATGTCCACCTCACCAAACACCTTTGGTGTGTGACAGCACATGACCTAGTTAGAAAAACAATGAAAGATTGTTCTTCCTGACCCTTCACCCCATTTCAAAAAGGTGATAAGGTTTGGCAAGAAGCATGGAACTTAAAATGTTCCTATGAAAACAGAAAACTTGCCCCAAAAAGAGAAGGACCCTTCACCATCTCTGACATCCTATCTCTGATCACATACCACCTCATGATTCCCACACAATGGAAGATACACAACATGTTCCATGC